ACAAAGGTGTTGCGTTTATATTTTTGTTGAGTGTAGAAGAAAGGATCCATCCATCCATCCATTTTCATCCGCTTTGTCCGGGGCCGGGTCGTGGGGGCAGCAGCCTAAGCAAAGAGGCCCAGACCTCCCTCTCCCCAGCCACCTCCTCCAGCTTATCCGGGGGAATACCAAGGCGTTCCCAGGCCAGCCGAGAGATATAATCTCTCCAGCGTGTCCTGGGTCTGCCCGGGGCCTCCTCCCGGTGGGACATGCCTGGAACACCTCACCCAGGAGGCGCCCAGGGGGCATCCTTGTCAGATGCCCGAACCACCTCAGCTGGCTCCTTTCGATGTGGAGCAGCAGCTGCTCTACTCTGAGCCCCTCCCGGATGGCCGAACTTCTCACCCTATCTCTAAGGGAGAGGCCAGCCACCCTTCGGAGGAAGCTCATTTCTGCCGCTTGTATCCGCGATCTCGTTCTTTCGGTCACTACCCACAACTCGTGGCCATAGGTGAGGGTAGGGACGTAGATCGACCGGTAAATTGAGAGCTTCGCTTTTACACTCAGCTCCCTCTTCACCACGACGGACCGGTGCAGCGTCCGCATTACTGCAGCTGCAGCCCCAATCCGTCTGTCGATCTCCGGCTCCCTTCTCCCATCACTCGCGAACAAGACCCCGAGATACTTGAACTCCTCCACTTGGGGCAGGAACTCATCCCCGACCCGGAGTGGGCACTCCACCCTTTTCCGGCTGAGAGCCATGGCCTCAGATTTGGAGGTGCTGATCCTCATTCCCGCTGCTTCACACTCGGCTGCGAACCGCTCCAGTGCGAGCTGGAGGCCCTCACCCGATGAAGCCAACAGAACCACATCATCTGCAAAAATCAGAGATGAGATTCTGAGGCCACCAAAGCGAAAGCCCTCCGCCACTTGGCTGCGCCTAGAAATCCTGTCCATAAAAATTATGAACAGAACCGGAGACAAAGGGCAGCCCTGGCGGAGCCCATCACCCACCGGGAACGAGTCCGACTTATTGCCGGCAATGCGAACCAAGCTCTTGCAACGGTTGTATAGGGATCGAATGGCCCGTAGCAATGGGCCAGACACCCCATATTCCCGCAACACCTCCCACAGGACACCCCGAGGGACACGGTCGAATGCCTTCTCCAAGTCCACAAAACACATGTAGACTGGTTGGGCAAACTCCCATGCACCCTCAAGTATCCTGGAGAGGATAAAGAGCTGGTCCAGTGTTCCGCGACCAGGACGAAAACCGCATTGTTCCTCCTGTATCCGAGGTTCGACTAACGGACGAACTCTCCTTTCCAGCACCCTGGCATAGACTTTCCCAGGGAGGCTGAGGAGTGTGATCCCCCTGTAGTTGGAACACACCCTCCGGTCCCCTTTCTTGAAGATGGGGACCACCACCCCGGTCTGCCAGTCCACAGGTACTGCCCCTGATCTCCACGCAACATTGCAGAGGCGTGTCAACCAGGACAGCCCTACAACGTCCAGAGCCTTCCGGAACTCGGGGCGGACCTCATCAACACCAGGGGCTCTGCCACCAAGGAGTTGTTTAACTGCCTCAGTGACCTCGCCCCCGGAAATTGGCGGGTCATTCCCCTCATCCCCAGACTCTGCTTCCTCCTCGGAAGACGTGTCAGTGGGATTAAGGAGGTCCTCGAAGTATTCCTTCCACCGCCTGACAATTTTCTCAGTCGACGTCAGCAGCGCTCCGCCAGCACTATACACAGTGTAAGGTAGAGCACCGCTTTCCCCTCCTGAGACGTCTGACGGTTTGCCAGAATCTCTTCGAGGCAGCCCGAAAGTCTTTTTCCATGGCCTCTCCGAACTCCTCCCACACCCGAGTTTTTGCTTCAGCCACTGCCCGAGCCGCATTCCGCTTGGCCTGTCGATACCTGTCGGCTGCCTCCGGAGTCCCACAGGCTAACCAAGCCCGATAGGACTCCTTCTTCAGCCTGGTGGCTCCCTTCACCTCTGGTGTCCACCATTTGGTTCGGGGATTACCACCACGGCAGGCACCAACCACCTTGCGGCCGCAGCTCAATGCAGCAGCTTTGGCAATGGAGACGCTGAACATGGTCCATTCGGACTCAATGTCCCCAGTCTCCCTCGGATAGAAGAAAGGATAAAAAAATAAATTAACATAATAAGTCAAGTTGATGAATGATTGAGTGGCAATGCCTTACATGATTGCATGTAAAAGCCTAATAGTGTTTTTTAAAAGTATTTCAAAATTTACATTTAAAGTTAATGTAAACTATCAAATAAACTCAACAATTCGCTGTTGCTTAGTAACAACATAGTATAACAAGAGCGAAAACCTCTGCCACTCTCCGGATAGTGTTTACTTGTAAGGGAATGATACTGTATTTTCTATATATTCATTTTTGTTAGCCTGTCCTGTCCAAGGTAGTTGGGATAGGCTCCAGCCCCCCGTGACCCTGACAAGGATAAGCCGTAGAGAAAGGATGGATATATTCATTTAGTCTTCTGCGTGTGGTAAAAAAAAATCAGATAAGGGTACCGTGACAGATGTTTAGGTTGATTGCACAAACATTACGTAGGTTGAAATTTACTGATTTGTAAGTAACTGAACATGAATATCTTGAGCTTAATATTCAATATTATACTATAGTATATATAAAAACAGGCAGCTCGTTTTATTTCTCTCAACAATACGTTCTTTGATGATATAAAACATTTTTTAACCAATAGATCATTGAGTGGAGCTTGAAGACCTTGGTGGATGTGAGTCAAATTAGAATGACTTGTTAACGAGACCCCACTTTACACGTTTTATCAGAATTCATTCAAAACTTTTCGAGCTATCCTGCTTAACGACGCACACAAATACTGCCAGAAACATAACTTCATTGCAGGAGGTAATTATTTCTTCTTAACATCTAATTAACTAGTGATTAAAAAGCATTTCTTGATGCATTACTGAACCTGAGCCTGAATTAGAATCAGCTTAACTGGCCAAGCATGCAAGGACTGTGACTGTTTTCAGAATGAACACAAAGAAAAAGAGAAATAAACTCATAAAATTGACTCCCATGTGTCCACTGTTTGCTTTGTACTGCTCACTCAGTTCCTGTTACAACCCCGAGAACTAAGAAAGTAAATTTCCATCACTTCAGGTAGCATATTTATGCAGCAGTTAGCAGTTGTTGGTCTAAGCATATTAAAGCACTCCTACTTCCTGTAAAGTGTACCATCTTGCACTGTGGACCGAGAGAATGACGACTGAGAGCCAGAGCTGCCAAATTTGTACACACTACTCATGGCGGTCACCTGGGAGCACATCCATTCCACCTGACTAACCAGTGTTTGTCAAAGCCAGAGTCGTGCTGCTTGGCTGATCTACCCATCCCCCATTGGCACTGCACACACAACCCCCCCCCCCCCCAAAAAAAAAACAAAAAGAAAAATCAGCCATGCTTTTGAATGCACCTTTGAAACGGGCAAAGAGCCTCCCAGCACAGCGCACAACAAAGTAGGACACAAGGCAACTTAGCAGTGTACGTGCTGGTGCAGAAACAAATACAGATACTGAAAGGGAGATGCATGCACACTCTTACTAACTCCCTCTGATGCACTTAAAAGCAATGAGTAAAATATTGATAGCCCGAGGAGGTCCGGGCTGCTCAGTATGTGCTCTGTACGCACTAGGAAAGAAAGTATGTTCATGTGTCTGCTAAAATGAGTATCTTCAAAATCTGTATCCATATAAAAGTCAGAATAAATGCCATTTGTTTCTACTGGTCTCAAAATTGAACTTCAGAGGGTTCATCTTATTCAGCAACAAAAACCTTCTTCATTGTCAAAAACATTAGCATCTCCTAGCTATTATACGATAAAAATCGTATAATAGCTGCAAAGACGGGCTAATTGTCATATTGATGTGATTAACAGTTAGTACTGTTATTAACCCGCAGAGATAAGGCAGCAGCCCATGTGCCAGTTAAATCACGAGCCAGGGAGGGGTGGGGGACAGCACAACGCCACGTGAGCGTACCATCTCTCCACTTTCTCGCTCGTCCCTCCTCATCATACACATGCATTCACCCCCCTGCTGTGGTATTGGAGAAAGCGCTAATGGACAGAAGTGATTACTGGCCACCTTAAGGTTGAATAGGCGAGATGAATAGATACGGTCACAGCCTCGCAGGGGGAGTGGACGAATTGCCTGACCTTCGCATGAAAAGACCAGACTCCAATCTGTCATCCACAAACTTCGCTGCACACCACCTGCTAGGCTGTTTTTTCACACTGTGTGGCACCAGGTAATGAGCAATTTTGAAAAAAAAGCAAGATGGAAAAAAAACCAAACCCAAAAAACAGAACACCTTGCTAAGTGTAGAATAGCGAAAGCCCCTTTTCCACAGCAGAAAAATACACATTACTACTTTCAGCTACAACACACCCTTTCTTGTTCATATCTCGCACGTGCACGTGGTCTCACATGTTCTCACGTGCACCCGGAAACAAATACAACTGCAGATGGCAATAGTAAAAAAAAAAAATCACAGTCAAAAGAGCATCAAACGAAAAAAATGTGACAAATATTGAAAATTGTGTTTTAGTTGTGTTTGGAAGGATCAAATCCAGTTTCCCAGAATGAAAACATGAAAACACAAATTTGCACATCATAAGCACAACAAATGAGCAGCTTTGGGCTCGGAAAGGACAACTCAAACTGAGTAAAATATCAAAGAAAAGAATAAAGGGAGGTAAGCAAAAAGGGGAGAGAGGAGTTGAATTCACTGTTACCTAGAGAAAAGAGAAAACATTGTTAACAGTATTTTCTTCAGCTCAAAGCCCTTGCACTAAAAAAAAAAAGAAATCTGAGGGGAAACTGGAAATAGAAGAATTAGTACTTGGTATCAAGAACAGAGCGAGACGAAGCAAAGTCAACACAGAGACAACGAGAGGCCACGGGACAGATGCAACACTGAACACTGGGAGCACGCTGGCTGTGTGACTGGATGCCCTACCTGTTTGGCTGAGTTGAGAGGTACTCCGGCTCTTGCGCGACATGCCAACCATGGCCTGCATTTTGGCACCAATGCTGGAGCGCCTCTTCTTGTCGTCAGTGCCTACCGTGCCAACCGCCGTGTCCGACTGACTGCCGTCCGTCTTCTCCAGGTTACACATGTCGCCACTGATGCTTGTGCTCTTGGTCATGTTCATCCCACCCGATGAGCCCATCTGCCTGTTTTTCATTTTGGATGCAAAGTCACTGTCAGCCACCACCATAGATGGGGGGGAGGGAAGGGGACAGGTGAAGACAGAGAAGAGAGGACAGGGCAGAGAAGGGGAGAGAGGAAGCCAGTGAAGGGGGATGTGAATGGAGAGATGATGGAGGAGGAAACAGAAGGAGAGGATGGAAGAGGAGAGGAGAGGGATAGTAGATGACAAGGTGTGGGGTGAAAAGGAGAAAAGGACAGAGTTCAGGTACAGGAGTTCATGACTTACAGTATAGATGAGGTTAACACTGATGTAGTGTATATTCTAAAGCCTTTTCATGCAGTGAAAGACCAACCATAGCCTACTCTCCAGCTCTGTAAATGGGTTTGTAAAAGTTTTGAAGCCGTTTGGGAAATCGGGAGTAACATAGAGTTAATACTCTGCATTTTATCTGTTAGGTTATTTCGTTTTTTGATTTAAGATGTCTAAAGACACTAATCAACTAAGAATCTGGTATTATTCTGAGTATTAATTTAATAATCAAAGTATTAATTTATTAAATGAAAAGTTCACGGACATCCACAAGTAGGTAAGAGTTGTGATCAAGCGCTCAAAGCTGCACACAGAAAAGTTGCCTGTCATCAGCATTATTCTCCAGCTCCTGCGGTTTGAAAGGAAATAGGCCAGTGTTCAAATGAGGGTCCTATTTTAGCCCTGCCAGTAAAATTATCTTTAAGAGACAAATTACATTCTGTATCATAGGCTCTGAATTCTTAATGGGATAAGTTACGTGTAGCACCCTCATTAATTTAAGTGTCTGACCTCCATCATGTAACTGTGTTGCAAAGACCACTCATAGAAAGATGTGCTGGGTAAAACGGGAAGGTTTAATACATTTTGACGGCTGATTCCATCAATTAATTCAATCGTACTCCAAATTTCACATATATCAGACACTCTGCTGTATTTGATAAACGCTGGAGTTTATGTCTGATATGGTTGCGACATCTCATTATCCTGCGTATGAACACAGTGGTGCTTTTAGTTTAGACAATCAGCCGTGCCTAAACATCAGCAGTCGACCAGGCCTTCGTCTGTCTCACGCACATTCTCATGCAGTTAGCTCATAAACAACATATGGAACCGTCATGAATGTGTGAGCACGTAGTAATGGCTGCTCATGTCACTCCTTGCTATGCTGGCGTGGATAGTATACACTGGCACATGCGTATCCTGTTTTGGCGGTCTGCACTTCATATTTTGTTTTTCAGCTGCTGTTGGTGAAATAAATCAGGTGTGCTGTTAAAGAGCACCTCGTACCCCAGCCAGCAGTAGCAAACCTTTTGTTTATACCAGTTCTAGCACCAGTGGCTTCTGTTAAGTATCAGCCTGTGCTTCAACACATAAATATTGAATGCTTATTGGGAGATTAGCGCCTTTGATCGGTTATTGCAGCCCAGAGGCTTTGAAGACGACTCCAAGCGCTCGGCCGGCACCACGGGCCCGTGTGCTACAAGTGACATTCTAAAATATGCTCTTTCACCATCATCGCAGTGAGGCTGCATTTCATCTGCTCCTCACACGGCGATCACGCCGCTTCTTTCATTACATCAGCACAGCAGCGAGGTCAGGGGGGATCGTGGCCTCTAACAATGATTGCCAGCTGAGGTTAAAATGCATGAGCGCAGAGCTTTCAATTAGAAATTTATGTTCTGTAAAATATTTAGCGACACAAAATAGGAAATGAGATGAAATGTATTCTTCTGATGGAATAAATGTCTCGTCTAATTCCCTACTTGTCTAATAGAACACACAGTGCCTGTCACCACGTTTATATCAAAGGCAAACTTTAATCCGTCTCTAGGAGGATGGCCAATAATAATATTTAATCTAAAGTGATGAACACTGCCGGTACGTGGACACATTCTACCCATTATCGGAACAGATGAATTATACCCAAACCACTAAGGGTCTATGATGGTTTGTTCCCTAAAGGGTGAACTTGCAACTGGATTGAATAAACATTTGGCTCTAACTGAATTGACGGCGCTTTTATTTTTCGTTTGTTTGTTTTTTTGTCAAAATGCACAAACATCTGCTCTTAATGGACACACTGTTCTAAAGTAAATCATAGTCTCACGATTCTTCATACTCTCATAAACTGGTGTAAAAGGACACCTTACTTTGATTGTCCTCAATAAAAACAAGTGCTTAAAATCTCTCGCACCTCCTCTCATTACAGTTTCGCCACTCTCTGAACAGGTCTTGGCACTCAATCCAGGGTTGCTGTGTAAATATGCCTACTTGGAAAACTGGGTCTCTCCAGGGATTTCTGATTTTCAACCTCAGCTCAAAGAACACAGAGCTCCTCATCATGCAGATTGCTCACCATGCATTTTCATCTAGGCCAACATGTTCCCAAAGCATAACCCAACCCCAAAATACCTTCGAAATCTTTGGTGTTGCAAAAATGTAGACAGGTTTTGCTACACAAAGCTGTCTTTAATAGGCCAATCTCCATACTGTATCATGTATTGATCATTTTTAGAAACCGATGGTAAACATTTAAATAAAGTCTTCTAAAAGGAAATGAGTCAATAGATATTAAGCAACTTTGGGGTGAAATATACATTTTATTTATTTAGTCTCACTAACAACAAGGAAGGAGCAGCTGTTATTAAAGGTGAATCATAAATGATGTATGGAAAAGTGCAGGTACCGTGGCAACCGTGCCCCAAATCAGAGCATTAGCATGCGTTCATGCCTGTCAAATTTCTTTTGTGTTTTTTTTTGCAGAGGTTGCAGTGAGCAGAATGGAAGTGATTCATTAAAGTCTGGATCTCATATTTATCTTAAGCTGTAACTTGGATACGACAGTCTCATTCAGAGCAGAGATTTTCGCTTCTGTCTTCAAAGGACTAAAAACACACACGGCTATCATGATGCTCGTATGCCAAGCCTGTTTAATGTGTAGCAGATGTGTATTTACACTGTGACCTCAATACATAGGAGATGACTCATAAATAGATGTAGCTGGTGGCCATGTTTCTGCTAAATCACACTGCTTTACTACTTTCACACACACAGATAAGGAGAGCAGCGAATGCATCTTTTGTAACTTGAAGCACATCGCGTGTCACTTGCTGACTCCTCAAATCATCTCGATACATGTGATTGACTGTTTTCAGTATTCTGACTTCAAATCTGGAGGCTCTCATAGAAAAGCTTTTTTACCTATAGATATTCTCTGCTTGATTACGGTTCAAGTTCTGAGATTTGTGGCTTCAATGCCCAGTGGCACAATTGACTATGCAGTGGCATGAATAACAGATATGCTAAATGTTCTATCTCATACATGCTCTATCTCACAGATCCTAAGATTATTAGCATGCAGCAATTTTGTTTTTTCTATTGTGTGCAGCTGCAAAAATCATGACTCAGTGAGCAAACCTGAATGAACAAAACGACGCGGAGTGTTTGATTTTTTATCTCTCAAAAAGCAGAATATTGCATTACTCACAACTAGGTGGAATATCAGTTTATACTGTAGCTGTCATGAAGGAACAAGGGTTGATCACACAGATGAGAGTTGCCAGCATTTTTTAAAGTAGGACCAAATGAGCTCACTTTCAGTCAAGATGAAACACATTGCAACTGCAGCATTGTAGCTTAAATCAAATCTCTGGGACGCGTGTGCTCAAGTCGGCTTTTTTCAAATCTCATTTGTACGTTTCCGGTGAATTCACTGAAAGTGATTACCCCGTGGTCATCAGTATGAGGTTTGTGATGTGACACATAAAAACAGGGAAATATCGAGGAGTAGCTGGAGACAAGGAGGAGGTCTGAGTCGACAAGTTGCACGTGCAAAACATGACTGCAGGGGAGCAAGTGAAGAACACGGACTGATAAAATACTGATGCAGCATCCCAACACAGCACAGCACATACAATAAAGCGATATACACAGCAACTTCAGAGCAAACCGATGGATGAGTGGGCAAAGCGTTAGGACTTCCTAATCTTCTGTTTGCACTGTATAATCCACGATCCACTGTGTAAGTACAATTTACTTCAGTGGATCTGCTCCTGTTTCTGCATGTGCATTTAGCCTCCTACGCGCATGTGCAGAGTGCACCTTCTCAATCAGACGGTGCACACTAGTGTAGAGTTAATCACGCGTGAGAGGGTGTAGCTTTTATCTTAATGTGTTTTCTGTTAAGACCGAGGGGCAGAACTAATATTGGTGAGAAGCGCTTGCTTGGATCCTGCTGTGAATGTGATTTGATGGTAAAGACATCTTATCAGGAGTGCAAGCTAAGCTTCTTTCTGTTGGCCTTCCAAATAAATTTTGCTCTTGAATTTGCTCTTGACACAATTTTCAGACCTGCTAGTCCAGCACAATGCAAAAATGAAACCACAGTCTCTTGTGGTTTACCAGGAAATAGTGTCATGTTAAATATAGTCTTAACATGTTAGAAGCCAAGCTTCTAATATGCCAAGGCAAGAAGCCAAGGCTCACTAAACATTTAGACATGAAGGTCCACTCAGAAAAACAACAGCTTTTATGATGTGTAGTAAAATATCAACAGTTCACCTAACCTCTGATTTAAATAAGTCTTCGACTTTATATTTACTGTACATCTCTATGCACACTTTGTGTGAATGTGACTATTATTATTATTATTATTATCATCATCACTTGTATGTACAGTTATACGTTTAATACAGGGAGGCACTTTGTTGAACCTCTTAGCAAATCAAAAATTGATGTTTACGAGGGTCTTGCAGTACACCTTGTGGTAATGCTGGATTTACAGTACTGCATTAAATTTGTGCCATAACCTGGTGCTCACTTTCTCATAAATGTCTCATAAATATTGATCAGCAAAAGGCTGATACCTATGTGAAACATAAGGCAACAGGCTGTGATTGTATCTAGCACACTAATAATCCTAATAGTATTTTTCCATAGTAAACATGCAGTTTTTCTTGTTTTCATTGCTCTTTTTCATTGGTTCGAAGGTCTTCTCTACTTCCTGCATGTCGATAAAAGTAACTGTTGTTTAAAAGCATGAAACATGAAGAGCTCAGTTTTCCTCGTGGTGTCAGAGCATTGCAGGCATATGGTAAAAGCAAGCTCTGATTAAGTGCAGTACTATAAATTCAGGATAAAGGTTATTCTTTAGATAGTAACTGTAGAGTTCAGATTATCTGATGTGTGAACAGACTGCATGGACACCAACTGTTTTCATGTCACTGCAATTATACACTGCTCAAAAACGTTAAAAGGAACACTTTAAAAATACATTCGATCCCAATGGGATGTGTGCATGACTCACAACACTGGAGCGTGCACTTATTGAGATGACCACTGCTGTCCTGGGAGATCTCCCCCAAAATCTGGAGCAGAGTATTACTCAGCTCGTCGACAATCTAAGGTGCAACTTGGCAGCTTGGACTGAGTAAAACATAATGTCCCAGAGGTGCTCTGTTGGATGTAGGTCAGTTGAGCATGGAGGCCAGTCAGTAGTATCAATTTCTTCATCCTCCATGAACAGTGTGCTTACTCTAATTACATGAGGCCGGGCATTGTTGTGCACCAGGAGGACCCACTGCACCAGTATAAGTTCTGACAATGTGTCCAAGAATTGCATCCTGATACCTAACGGCCGTCAGGGTGTGTGAGGCCTGTGGGTCCCTCCATGGATTATGCCTCCTCAGACCATCAAGGACCCACCACCAAATTGGTCATGCTGAACGATGTTACCCTTCCACGTCTGTCACATGGGCTCAGAATGAACCTGCTCTCATCTCTGAAAAGCACAGGGCACCAGAGGTGGAGCTGCTGATTCTGGTATTCTATGGCAAATGCCAATCAGGCTCCAGTGCTGAACAGTGAGCACAGAGGCCACTTGAGGACGTCGGGCCCTCAGGTCACCCTCATCATGTCTGTTTTTGATTGTTTGGTCAGAGACGTTCACACCAGCGGTCTCCTGGAAGTCATTTTGTAGGTCTGGCAGCACACATCCTGTTCCTACGTGCACAAAAGAGCAGATACCAGTCCTGCTGATGGGATAAGGACCTTCTACGGCCCTGTCCAGCTCTCTTAGAGTAAGTGGCTGTCTCCTGGAATCTCCTCCATGCTCTTGAGACTGTGCTGGGAGACACAAAAAATCCTTCTGGCTATGTCACACATTGATGTGCCATCCTAGGGGAGTTGGACTATCTGTGCAAGCTCTGTAGGGTCCAGGTACCACCTCATGCTACCAGTAGTGACACTGACCCTTGCCAAATGCAAAACTATTGAAAAAACAGTCGGAAAAGATGAGGGAAAAACATCATTGGTCTTTACCTGGAAAACCATTCCTGTTTTTGAGGTTATGCACCTCTAATGCACCTGTTGATGATTTCAATACCATCATAGAAAAAGTTTAACACCAACCCACAAGTTGAACTGACTTGATGCTCTGATTAAAAAGTGTTCCTTTATCTTTTTTAAGCAGTGTAAAATATTAATGCTACTCTACCTTAGTATTGTTAAAGGTCAACAGAGCCACAGTTACACCATCATCAAGGTAAAGAGAGGAGGGTAGTCACCACACTCTGTCTTGCACGTCCTCATATAAATGTGCAAAAGACAGTCGTCCACTGGGATCTACAGCGGGATCTATACTACTGTTAGTAGTTTTCTTCATCATTGTTAGTCTACAGTTTGAAGCTGCTACACATGTGTTACCTGAGGTCAGTCTCTGAGATACTCCTTTGGTGCAAGTCCTCTTCTTTCTCCATCAAATCCTTCTGATGCTCTTCGCCTGCGTCTACCTTTCCCTCCCACTCCTTCCCCCCTCTCTGCACCCTTCCTTCTTTACTAGCCCCTCTGCCTTTTTCTCCTGCCTCCTCTTCCTCCCTCACTTCTCCTAACTGCTCATCCCCCTCCCGAGAATGGCTCCTCGATCGCAACTGGCTGAAGATGGAAACAGAGGCACAAAGAGCAGCACATGCAAAGCCAAAAGAAACAGAAAAAACAGAAAAAAACAAACAAAGCGTGAACAATGTCAACAACAAAAGAGAGACGAACACAGAGATGCAACGCAGCCATGATCAAAAGCAGACTGATTCTAAATCACAGAAGAACTAACGTAGACTTAAAGCAAAGCACCATGCAGAGGAGTTTGTTTTTGCTTTGATATGAGACGACACCCAAAGAGTAGAAATATGTTTAATGTTTCAGTGACTACTGCCAGATATGGACAAACTTCCCCCACAGCGTGAAGGAACAGAGTTCAACCACTTGGCTCCAGATTCTCTAAAATGGAGCCAAACTTGAACTCATCACAGGGAGAAAATGACACGCAGCGCTACAGGAGGGGAATTTTCTCCTCGGGTAACCATGTGCAAACAGTTTCAAATTTGAAAACGTCTGGACATGGTAATGAATATGGGTTTCACCGCTGAGGGGGGCGGGGTTTGTCCATTCCAGCTTGATGGTAATTTAAAGAGCGACACAAAGTTTGCATCAGCCTACCGGATCTTGCGGTTTCCTTGCGGCCTTTCTGACTGGACAGACATGTAGCTCGTGCTGCTGAACCGAGAGGCACTACTGGTTCTCGACACAGCGGACACGTCGCTTACATCACTGTCCGACGACTTGGCTGACAAGTTGTCGGAGCCCCGTGGATCTCTGCCTGAACGCTGCAAAGAGGGCAAAGAATAAGACATAAAGTATGGTGACATCAGATATCACAAGTTTGGGGTTTTTTGAGCACTCAACAATTTTAACAAGTACAAAATGTTGTTGCTAAAATAGTCCCAATGAAAACTTCAACAAGTTACCAAAGGGTAGAGATTTCTAAAATGACTTCTACGTCTTTGCCTTGTAAGGGAAAACTATTTGATCAAGACAAGCAGTATTTCAGAAATAAGCTGTTGAATGTAAATAAAAAAGAAGAAATATGCACACTATTTTTACGTTAGGCATATTAGGTGAGCGACTTTAAAGGTCAGTATTTTAATTATGTAGTGGGAAAACATTGAGCTTGCAGTTAAATACCGCAGGGGTTCATGGTTTGAGATTTGGTCTTACCAGGTTCAGAGACTAGGAAAAGTTATAAATGACATCCACAATTTCAGCTTGACTTTCATTTTTGTGTACAAAAGGCTGGAATGGCACACGAAAGCATGTCTTCGTTTCATTCAGCTTCTGATCAGCATCCATTGTTTGTGTGTGTGTTGCAGGTTTTCACAGGCTTGTCTTGTTGATTTTAATTGACTTTTTACATTTGAGCTAATTTATGCTTTGGATCTATCTAGCATGGATATATTAGATGGTAAATGGACTGCTACTTAAATTGTGCTTTTCTAATCTAACTGAGCACCTAAAGCATTTGTTACTTGTCACCGGTAGTGTCGTGGATGAGAGAGGGAGGACTCACAGGCAGGTAGGTGAAGGTGGATGTTTATTGCCGAAGGAGCGAGCAAACAGTACAGAGGGAGGAGATGGCTGGTTGACTGAATGAATGAATGAATGAATGAATGAATGAATGAATGGCCAAAGGACTGACTGACTGAACATACAGACGACATAGACATCAGACATACATCATCAATGACCCGACACTGAATGGGTAGAACAGAGGGCTTAAATACACAGACTGGTGATAATGATGATAATAAGGGACCAGTGAGTACACAGCTGAACATAATGAACTAATGATAATGGGAAGAGGACTGAACATAATACACACAGACCAAGGCTAAGACAATAAAACAGGAAGTGGAACAGGCAGTAGATAAACAGTGAATGTGAACTGAAAACACTGGGTCACCGACCCAGGAACCCTGACATTGCTATAGTTCTCATTCTCCCAGTCAGTGCTTTTTGTGCAAGATCTTGTCTAATATTTGCACACTTACTCACACTCTTTATAAACAAACATGATGCGTGTTTTAGAGTAACAAGTAAAATGAATTCTGGAAACTAGATTTTTGAATTGGGAACTAGGGCCAAAAAATAAAACTGTTGCAAAAGTGACAAAACTGCAGATTCTTCAATGGCCCCTTGAAGATGTCACACAAGCAAGCTCCTATGTTAAAATGCCCAGTTTCACAGCAGAAATAAACCTAACATTGGTCCAGGCCGGGCGTCGACAATCTTCAACATCAAAAGAGCCATTTTAGCTCCTCCCAACAAACTACGAGAGAAAAAGTGCAGCACACGTGTGTAACGTGGATTAACATGTTTATTTTCTATGAGTTTCTAACTTGAATATGTCAAGCTCTGCCTGCTCTTGCATTACTGTGTTCGATTAACAATGCAGACAAAGAAATAATGCGCACATTTGTGATTACACTTGTGATAAAGTTTACAAGAAGCTGTTGATCAATCACAGTCCATACAGTGTTGCTGCCAGAGACCAAAGATGGAACATTCATCAGCAACTGTTCAATAAACTAAATTTTTTGGACATTGTTTTGAAAGATATTTGCAGGCACTTAAGTTAAGCTAGCAAACATTGGAAATATTAGAAAGTCCAATTGTTCTTGATTGCATCACAGCACACCTGGGAACCTCGCTCTGCGCCGTTGGTTTCCTTTTTGCACGCTCTTTTCTTTTTCAACAACTACCCAGTTTAAAGCTATGCCTAGCAGTGTGACAGATTTGTGTGATAACAATTGGTTGTAGGTGCAATATGGCTTGCCAACAGCCTATCCATGAAATATGTAATCCAGTTTTGCTGATTGGCTAGTATTACTGGAAGGCTTTTTTGTGTGTTACATAGAATTGTTCATAACAGGTGTTTATGTCTGTGTGATGTACCTTCCTAACCAAGCTTGTTAGCATTAGCTGACAACTTAGGACTCCAAAGAGTCATCCAAATATGGTCACTCCTGGCTCTGAAACACCCAGATGGCAACAACTAAAACGCTATTCCCCAGGCTTTAAAACGGAACTTTATAAAACAAAGATTCTTGTCATGTCTTGTCAATTGTTTATATACAGGCTAAGGCTCTCATACAAAGCAGGGTTACGGGGATTAAGTAATAAGATGGTTTACAACTTACTTCAGCATGCAAAACAAGTTGGCAAAAGTCATTCCCTGTATGCCTGCTTCTTAATGCTTGTGATGTGCAATTTTACTGCTAATTTTTTAGGGTATGATTGTCACTGGGGAAGAAGCTGAATGTCTAACTAAAAACGAGCACTTTTCAGTGGAAGACTGGGTGGAGCAAAATCAGGGTTGTGCTCTGAGAACTTGTCCCACAGAGACTGTGAACTTTCCAAAAATTAAAAACAACTTGAGGTATCATCCTTCTGATTAACTGGATGAGATCCAGAATGCATCGCAGACATACAAGCATGAGGACTTGTAGAGTGCGATCTAAAAACTGCACCCACGCTTAAAACAGTCAAAAGTGGCACAAGAAGATGATCTTAAACAGGCGATCGGCCAAATTTCAATCAGGTAATGTGTTTGTTTTCCATTTTTGAAGACTTGTGATCTCCTGTAATTGTACTCTTAATACTTCATGTACATTTTACTAAAAAAATTAATGAATAATATTCTGATTTAGACATACAAAGTTTTGCATGAGTACTTAACCATAAGTGGCAGGAAGACAGTTACCATATACTGTTTAATCCAGTGACAGTCAACTGGCTCACAAAGTCGGATTCTACTCAACTAACTTTATACACAGGCTTTCCTGGAAGCTGAACTGGGCTGGGATGATCTTGGCACAGACTTAGTCCAAGCACATTTGTGAACGTGGATGTGTATATAATATCTTGTTATGTTTTGGTTGGCTGTTTACTGTAACTAAATCTGGACGGAGTGTTACAGTAACTGCCTTTATTAGCATTGTTTTTGTCAATGGGAAGATATTGCTCAACATACAAGGACTGGGGAATAATTTCAGCAGCTTTTTATAGACTCCAAATGCCATAGTTTTCATAGCATTGTCTTAAAAGGAAAGCAGACAGAGGGGCTTCATCTGCTAGGTCTCAGACCAGACCGCAGTGAGACAGCAGGCTCTGGCCGAGCTCTCTAAACATGTTCAGGACTTCTCCAGAACAGAGTAGTAAACAGTGGACTTTACACACAATTCCTTGAAATTGCAAAGTGATGTATTGAAGTATTTGGCCTAAATGACAAGGAGAAAAATGTAGTTTCCCACATAGAGATAACTCTAGGTGGCTTTAGATTGTTGTCGTTTTAGATTTGTGTGCAATGATTTTGAGATATCTTATCGTTCCATTTACTTTTTCTGGGTTAACAATGGACACTGCTGAGAAACTGTTGGGAAGGATTAATAAAATGTATCCTGTGGCGCTGTGGATGCATGTCGCTTTTTAAAGTCAAAGCTTTGAATAAAGACGTGTATAATATATATCTGTGACTCAGATGAGCTGATTAGAAGAACAGCTGTATCCAGCTCTGTGTTTTCCAGCCTTTGAGTCTTTACCAGCTGCACTTTGTTTTGATATGTTTTGTGACCATATCTGTGCATGATGCAAACATCAGTGAGCATGCATTTTGGAACTTTGTGAACAGTGTTTGTGTAGGAACATTGTTTTCTGGAGTGTTGAAGCATAAATTAAGCAGACCTGGGCGTGTTTTCTTTACCTTGTGGTAGTCCTGCTCCAGTCTTGAGTCAGAACCAGCTCCCTGCTTGTACTTGTTCATCTTTAGTTTCATCTGTCTGGTCCTCTCCTCCATGTCCATACCTGAGCACAGAGACAGATGCGAGTCAGCTGGGAGCTGGTGGACTGTGAGGAGAGCCTCATGGAGGGGCATACTGTTATGGTGAGAGAGGCTTCTGTTGAGCTATGAGCCATGAGCTATGACGGGACAGATCTAATGGGAAAAGCTGAATGGTTGGCTGTTTTTAACAAACACAAACCCGTAAACATATGCTGCATAGAATAATAAACTAATTTTTGAAATCAATAAGTCCCACAAAAAATGCTGCTTTTTAGTCAGTCACTAATATTCAAATATTTTTATCTGACCTCAGTAAAACACATTTGAATGCTAAGCCAAATTACTCCAGTACTACTACAGCACTAAATGTAACAATACTAGTGATGCATTTTTAAAAAAAACTCTAGATGAAAGGAAATGATTAAACAACAAATTGAAATCCCTAAACGATCACATTAATTGGCCGAAGCATCCCTCTCGATTAAAACTGACAGGCATTTTAGTCCTTTTATAATTGCATAAAATCATCCGGTTTACCCATCTTATCACCTCCCAATTTCAGTTTAAGCTCTGCAAATGTGATTCTTACATTCGCAACCATGCACAGGCCTCTGTTGAAGTACAAATACCAATAAGAATAGGAACTGTGTACATTTTACAAACCTAAAAATGACAAAATAAGCTACAAACAGTTTCTACAGTAACCGTTTCTTTTCTGCAAAAATGTTCACCACATGGTGACTTTCCTGCTTTTTCCTGCATTTCCATTTTCCTGCTTACTCTTTGTCTCTACTTTTGTGTCATATGACCGCAGTGACAGAGTGAAGATGAATGCACACGTACAGGCGCCATGCTCACATGCCTTCATGTACACACTCGCACACAAAGAGAAACGAAAAAGCAAAGAAAAAGAGTAAAATAAAGGAATACAAGCTCAGAGCAAATGAATGACTGCATGAGTGAAGCGAAAGGACTTGACGCATCACGCAGTTAGTAAACTACATGTGATTTCGCATCTCTCCCGGAGTATTTTGTTAACTAATAGTATTTAATTTAACTTTGTTAAATGATTGTAACTGAGCTGCTTTTGAAATTCCAGTGCAGTCAGAAAGTCGTTTTTTGTGATCGCTTCGTTTCAGTGGTCGTGATAAATATGAGGTTAAAATTGAACAACTTTGAGTTCATGTTCTTTTATACCAACACGTTCTCATCCCAACTTGTAGCATAGAAACACATGTGACAAATCGCCAGTGTGTTACGCGTTTGGAGGCACGAGAGCCGTTTGGAATGAATCTATACATGTAAATGTGTTTTACGTTCTGATCATGAATCACTTTGGAAAACACTATCTGATAGTGTTAAGGTTATGGTTATGGTTAGGGTGTAACACGGCTGGAGCGTGTGTTACCGCCGCGAGTGGCATTCTATTGGGTTCAATTGAGAATCCGGAGCATCTCATAAGGATGCGGAAGGGTACCTTTCGTTACTATGAGACGCCTCGGGACATGACAAATCGTCTGTATGTTATGCGTTGGCAATGACAATGCTCTGTTTATCCAATTTTTATTGGACAGACAAGATTGGACAGTTCATCACAATAAATTGTGTTAGATCCTAGAAGACTGATGGCTTTTTCATGCTTGAAGCTGGAGAAACGAGGCAGTTAGCTTAGCTTATCATAAAAACATTTAACCTCGTGTGGTCTAGACATAAAAAGCTGAACGACCAGGACCTCAGAGGCTAGCTGCTTAACAAATTGTACCTCTTGTTTTGGACTGCAAAGAGACCACATTTTAAGTGACTCGGTGACTGTGCATGAATGTGTGCGGCAATCATTGTTTCATTTCAAAGCAAATCTGTGGAACAAGATCATGAAAACCATACTCACTAAAGTGAGTAAAATTTTTGCATTAGCAGCGTTTAGGAACTCTAAGTCATTCAAAACCACACGAATCATCAAATTTCACTTGAAATAGGCCAAAAAGAAATCAATTTAGGGAAAAAGTAGCAAATCTATGTCTACAAAGAGAGTAATCAAAAGAATAAATCTGCTGTCATATGCTCACAGTAAGTTGTTTTTTTTTTTTATCTTGGTAGAAAATGACAGTGTCTCACGTGCTGCAAAGAAACCACACTGGTGTGATCGTGATCATGCTTTAGTGAATGACAAGCCCACACAGTCTGTGTGCAGAAAAAATAAAGCAGCAGAAATGGTATGGAAGCCAGAAGCATCATCTACACAACAACGAAGAGAGCAACGCCGCAAGAAATTGGAGTCAAGCCAAACGGGAAAATAAAAGACGACTGAGATGAGGGGAGGCGGGTTTGAGGAGGGGGAGGGCAAGCCAGGAAGACGTACAGAGAGAATCACAGCAGAGGAAGGAGAAGAGGGAGCTGAGACAGAAAAGAAGGAAGGTGCAGAAGAAGAAGGGACAGACCTGAGTTCGTCCAACTTGGTGAGTCCGTGTCTTCTGGGATCACATCACACAATGGACAGACACAGACAGAGGAGAGGAAGATGGATGTGAGAGGATGCACGAAGGGTAAGGGGGAGGGCGAAGGAGGAGAGGAAGGATGGCTGGGAGGGCGACGCCATCACCAAAGGTCTCGGGTTTGGAGGGTCAGAGTAGACAGGAAGGAGTCGGAGGGGAGGGAGGGGGACACGACACAACAATACAACACGACAATGACAAAAACAACAAGCACAGAACACACAAACAAAATCATAGAGTACACCAAGAACACACAAACTCCACCATGGGGACAGTGAGAAGTCAAAATAGAGCAAAAAGGGTGCGAGGCCGGGGGAGGCTGAGGTAGAGAGGCCAAGAGTTTAGTTATTAGAAGTCAGAGAGAGAGGGAAGGGGAAAGGTTCTGTGCTTTAAAGGGGAAAAAAGAGCTGAAACAGGAAAGAGATGTTAATGTACCAAACCAGATAGAAACTTGAGACCTCTCTGCAGGCAGGTGAGGAAAGGAGGAAGAGGAGGAGAGAGGGGAGGGGGAGGAGGTATATAAGGAGAAGTGGATGTCACTTGAACCTGCATGGGGCAACTGTGGGGAAACAGCCTGGAAAAGTAACATGAACGAAAAAAAAAGAGGAAAAAAAAAAAGAAAAACTGAAAGCACAGAGCAGCGAGCACACAAAAGAGAGACGGCTACCTCACACAGTTTCACCAAGAGAACGTTCAAACTGACAAAAAATAGAGGCATCACCTGGGTAGAGTGCGAGAGGTTTAAATACACGAAAGTGTACGCTTGGGCGCGCGCACACACACACACACACACACGAGCATCAGCCACAAGATCTCTCTGAAAAGTCACACAATACCAACATTCGACTGCCTGCTGCCAGGCATCTCTGTTGATTCCGATAGATTCACATTGTATTCATACGCATATTTCACTTGTCTCTGTATTATTCATGTTCTTCCTTTCTTCCGCTCGGGCCCCCGAAATATTCTGTTTAACTCCAGAGATGAAGTGTGCTTCTGTTTCCTCTGCGGCTACCAAGACACTTTCACACGTTTTGATCTCGCGTCGAGACAGCTGCTCATTGACTGACCCGACCTCAGTTCACAGGTTTAACATCGGGGTCCGGTTTGTTACCAACCTTCTCTCTTAGAGTCATGCTGACCCCCTTTTTTTTTTCTCCTGTTCTGTTCTCCAGCCCTCCCATCTGATCTCTATCCCAGGGGCTGAACCTGACAAATCAACAGTAACGACCAAGAGAGCCTTCATTGTCCTACACCCCCCCCCCCTCCCATACACACACACACACATACAGAGAATTTGCATTTAGCTCAATTAGCACTCACTTAGCTTGAATAATATGGTGTCACATGAATTAAAAGACAATGTGAGGCATCTGCCTAGCTAGCTTTCATGAACGTAATAGCAGTGTGGTTTAGCTTCGTCAGTCATTCCAGGAAACACACAGAAAATATGCAGAGTTGGAGAGAAATGAGAAATGGATGGAGTGAGAAAGTGAGAGAGACTGACTGAAGACCAGGCTAGCTGTAGGTTCATCACAGATTGGCCTGTGGGAAGCAGAGGCTTTGAAGACATGCCTCTCTGCATCCTGCAGACGCACTGAGAGAGCTACTGGGTTTTTAGCTCAGAACAGCAGATGTTTTATGTTTTATTTTAAAGCCACAATCCTAAATCTGGTTCTGTTGTCAAAACGTACCAGCAAGCGGCATAACAAACTAACATAAATGAGGCTTAACTTAAAGGAAGGTGAAGGCGTGCCACCATGGGAACATTTCAGGAACACATTTCATGCTTCCTATACATCCATGGGCAAGGATCAGGTGTCATTTAAATAACGCTGTTATTTGTACAGTGCTGACAAAAAAATCAGTAAAGAAATTAATATAAAGGGTAAGAAATCTATAAAATGTATCACTATTTTTTAAGGCGCTAGAAAAAACCCCCCAAAACAACAATCTTTTGTGGGGGTTTTTTTCATAGTTTTAAAATGTCAACTCCAAGATGCACTGCAATACCACACCAAGCAAGAAGAGACTGAAAAATAGAAGGATGCCATCCAGAGGCTGACAAAGACACCTCCTGTTAAATCAAAGGTGTGTCCGTGTGTGTCTATATATATATATATATATATATATATATATATATATATATATATATATATATATATATATATATATATATATGTGTTAGGGGTGCAAAGGTACACAAAATTGATGGTTCGGTTCGATACTTTGGTGTCACGGTTAGATATTTTTTCGATACAAAAAATGTTCATGCCTTTTTAATTTGTCATTTATTAAAATTATAAATATATATTTTAACTCAACTTAAATTTAATGTTGCTGAAACAACAAAATAGAAAAATCTATCTGATCGAGAAATCACTCATCTTTGGAAAAATAGTTTATTACAGAGAAATGTCTCTTTCCAAAATAAAAGCTATACTATACGCTTCTTCTGGGCTATATTCTCAGCAGCATATTAAACATATCAGGTCCCCATAAGGAGAATCATGTGCTAACGGCTGTCTAAATGACTCGGGTAAAGTTTGTAGCATGCGTGCTTGTTGTTTTTGTCTGCTTCCACTTGTCTTTGCACTAGGATGATGTCGGTTTAAATGTGCAGTCATATTCGTTGTGTTCCCACTAGTGCTGTCAGCGTTAATCTTGTTAAAATGACATTAACGCCATAACGCGGCAAATCTCCGTTAACGAGTTACCGCGGATCGCCCCGTGCATGGGGCTGGACGCTGTCAACAGGTTAACGAGCTAACTTCGCTAACACAGTAATTCTCACCAATGTAATTGAGCATTGCGTGGCACATCTGACATACTGTTTTACTTTAGTCCATGACTCGCTTACCATCAGGGTCATGCTTCACATGAAAACCAAAATAGTTCCAAACGCTAGATCTGAATCAGGGTGGGGGAGGTTCAATTTGCCATTTTGCAAAGAGCTTAGCTTCTGTCTTGCTAGCTTGTGCTGCACTCAGTGGATCTGCACTCTACAGTGCAGCCTAGGCGGAGTAGTTGAACGCAGATCCACTGAGCGCTCAACACAGACAGCATCGTCAGAAGAAACGTTGATCAAATAAATAAAAAAAATTTGTATTGTTCGATACATATGCGTACTGAACCGAAAGCACTGTATCGAATGGTTGAATATCGATACGAGTATTGTTGCACTCCTAATACATACATATATATATATGTGTGTGTGTGTGTGTGTGAGGGTAGAATCCAGTTGAAAGAGTCCACACAAGGACAAGTCAAAGGAGCTTGCAAAGAAAAGCATCTGGACGTTTCACCTCTCATCCGAGAAGCTTCTTCAGTTCTAAGGTCAAATGGTGGAGAGTCCCACATTTAAACCCAGTGGGAGTTTCCCCCCACAGAGGGACAAAAGGACCCCCTGATGATCCTCTCATCACCTGAGTCAAGGTGTGAAAATGGGTGTGGATCACAATCAGCCAGGGTTTCGGGTGTGTTCATTGTGAAACCTGGCCCCACCTTATCATGCGAATTCCTGAGGTCAGATGGCCCAGGATGTGAGTGGACGTTAAGGCGTCTGGGAAGGGAACTCAAAACTGGATTATAGATGGCAGACAGTTGGTGTCGTAAACCCCCACCTCTGTTCAAAGATGGTCGCTCACAGTGGACGTAAATGGCTTCTTTCACTCCTCTTTCAAGCCATCTGTCCTCTCTGTCCAAAATGTGAACGTTGGCATCTTAGAAAGAGTGACCTTTATCCTTAAGATGCAGATGGACTGCTGAGTCTTGTCCTGTGGAGGTGGCTCTTCTATGTTGTGCCATACGGTTGTGAAGTGGCTGTTTGGTCTCTCCGATGTGGAGGTCTGGGCATTCCTCGCTGCACTGTACCGCATACACCACATTGTTAAGTTTGTGTTTAGGAGTTTAAATCTGGGACTCTCCGCCATTTGACCTTAGAACTGAAGAAGCTTCTCGGATGAGAGGTGAAACGTCTTCAAGTAACTTAAAGAAGTCCAGACGCTTTTCTTTGCAAGCTCCTTTAACTACGATGACCTGGATGACTGAGAACCTTAACAGACACACAAGGACAAAGTCAGCAATTCTTCACAGAAACCATATTCTATTAGAATACTTTCAGTGAGTCCATGAGCAATAAACAGCTATAGTAGATACTATTATTATGCAATATTTTATTGCTACAAGCTTCGCTAAACTTACAAACTGAAGTAAATACTATAAAACAAATGACAAGTAAAGCAATGACTGTTTTTGAGCTGGTTCAGTTTAGCTTTGAAATGTTCCTGAAATATTCAGTCAGTTAAGCTTGATACTCAGACCTTTAGACATATTTGTTGAATTTCAAAAGACAAATTTTAAATCTGTTTTTAAAGGCTTGTATGTAGAAATCATCATGCTGTGTACAGGGCTGATCAGACAAGCATGAAGAGGCCTATACGCAAGATTGATGCGCTTTTCTCTTTTTGACCGGGTACTTGTCTGGTTAGATACGTTGATTACTGTTCATGTACTCATATGAGAGAGAGTAAAAAAGACTTGTACCCTATCAGACCGACCGACCTGTGTCAGTGAGTGAAGGGTAAGGTTGCGTCCCACCATCAGACAGAGAGCCATTCAGCCCTCGCTGCTGGTCCTCCCATGTCACCTCTAAAGCAAGACATACACATAGATATACACACACACACACTGATTTTGACACCATTAGGAGATCTCCTTCCTGCGCAAATGTTTATTCTTCTCTATAAAATACTTTCTATGTCTTCATTTATTGATACATTGCATAATGAGCATTTTGTGTATTATGCTCTGTACCAATAATAGAAAGCTGCTGCAAGCATAAATTAAAACAAACAAACAGATAAGAAAAAGGCATCTTTACTACTTCAGCACTGAAATCAAGGACAGCTCCTTATCAAACATTATGAACTTTGCTCCATCTGCTGGCCAACAGAGGTAACAGCCTCTCAAATAAAAAAAAAACTTAAAAAAAAACATTACACTCTGCAGTACTGCAGCAAAGTGTAATGCACAGGCAGCAGGAAATGCTGTTTATGTGGAACACTATCCTAAAAATGTCTCTATTCAGCATTACTCCATTACGCCATTTTTATTACTGTTTTTGGCAAAAAAGGACAATTTTCTTTGCACTAAGCATCAGTTATGTTTGTAAGAGACTGCCAGTCTTAATGGAGTGCATGAAAAGACTGTGTGCACAAGAGCGCAATAATCCATGTCTAATTGAAATGATTGGCAATTTCACAATGGAAATGGAGAGCTCTGTCTTTGTGAGGTGGAGCTGAGCAGAATTAATTAGTATTAAAGAAGAGGGCAGATTAGAGCTCTGAGGCCACGCTGGAGGCAGAGAAGGGCAGACCAACCAAACTTCCAATCACAGCACTCTGTATGCATTAACATCAGTTACACTACACACAAGTCTCTAGTTTGATCACGCAAATAAAGTCAGAAGGAACGGACCATGCTTTTTGGGTGAGAGATGAAACTTGGGCGAATAAAACACTTTGGTGCGACTGAGAGCAGCTCATCATCAAGGATCACAGCTGCTGCTAACTAATGTCACAGAAGGACCAAGAGAGCCCACACAGCAAAATCACACCATCACACTGCTCGGAAGACTTGCCTTTCCTCCCATTTACCGGTGGGCCTTGGGGTTTTTCCTCACTGCCTGCTGCTAGTGGGGAGACAGATGGAGGTTCATGAAATGGTGCAGCACTGAAACTTTACACTGTACGTCACCGTAATATCACAGCTCATTCCACTTGGGCCCAGACGCAGATGCACATATGCCACACAAGTGTGCACGCACGCACACATACGCACATATACCACAAGATCTGATGTGCACAGCAAGCGTTATTGCATAGAACTGCCGTGAGCTACTGGTTAATTATTCTGCTCAGTGTGTGATTATCAGAAAACATAGTTTTATAATATGCAGTTGTACAGTTATATTGACAACTCAACATACAACCATCTTACCATCCAAAGACACCATTAATTAACCCTGTTTAAAAATACAGTTTCCTTTTAGAGACCTTTCATGAATATCCAATGTGCCAGTGAGTGCTATAGCTGTCACAGTGTTGAGTAACAGCACCACACAGTCAAAGGACAGAAGCGTGCCACGTAAACAGATGGGAAGGTAGGAAGTAGAAACCGTGGGGAACTCCAGTTTCTGCCAACACTCTTGCCGCTCATTCAAGCCTGGGTTTGAATGTACTATACAACAGCGTGTACTGTACAGCACTCTCGAGCAAAACATAAACTCCACACACTTAAAATGCAGAGGCTCACATCCGCCGTGTTTCATTTTTAAAGATCTGCCATGACACAAGAGTAAAAACCCGCCGCGTGTTCTCAGTGATAAACACACCTGGATGATCGTTTTGGGGTTCAGGCGCCCTGGGCTCTTCCCCTGTTGCCACACATAAACAGATACACACATACAGGACAGTTAATGTATCTGCCAACTAGGCTTATATCAATATTCCAGCTTCTCCCAGGAATAATACAATAATATGGATCCAGTGTAGAAAGGTCCACACGCACACAAAAGCACAATCAGATTTGCTCAGCATAAGCCAAGTGTCACACAGCTCTGTGGGAACCACGGCGCAGGGTTGGATCAATGCTTCCCCTCTGCCCGTGCAGTGCCGCTGTCCTATAAGAAATAGACTAAAACACAGAGCAAAAGAAGGAGAGAGTGAGAGAAAGGAGAGAGATGTGAAAAGGCAGAGTGCCTGTCAAAGAAAAAAGGAAGAAAAAAAAAACAGGAGTAAGCGAGGCTGGGGGCAGGTATGAAGAGGAAGAACAAATAAAGGTGACACAAAGGAGCAATGGAGAGGTCCAGACACAGAGAGAGCTTTTGAGTGATAAAAAGATGGCAAAGATACAAAAAAAGACTGGGACTGAGAGAGAGCGAGAGCACAGGGGAGAGAGCGGGGCTGGCTGGCAGCTGTACAGAAGACAGGGAAAGGCCCTTGTGGACTCTGACAGTGATAAAAGGGTTGTGTGAATACTTTGACACGTTCACCAGAACTGCACGAGCTTCTTCTCTCCAGATTTATCTCAGTCGTTCCCCACAAAGCTTAGAACAACCCTTTTACAGCATCCAATTTAAAGACACGTGAAAACAATCATTGCCTTCATCACAGTGCTTCATATCACAGTTCATTACAACAACACGCAACAATTTGCCAGAGGAGTGCTGAGTAACACTAAGGACTTCACATGCCTCTGTACAATGTGAACAAATGCAGGTTTTGCTGTAATTGTGAAAATTGTGGAGTTTAGCACAAAATAGCATAATATTTGCTTCGGTGACGTATCTCAGCAGTCCAAATGTTTTAAAAATCGAATTATTTGCAGACAGTTAGTAATGATATCTGGTGTGTAACGCAAAGCAAAAGAACAGCAAGGCTACAAATCAACACAACACTGGTACGATCAGTAGGATCAAGGCACCACGATGGCACAGGACATTCTAACTGCACGTTTAAACACAACTGCAACGGGGGGGTTGGAGGAGGAGGATTCAATATGCACAGATCAAGTTTAGCCTCCACTGAACTGAGCTACCCGCCCTGTTGCAGACAGGGTTTTGGCTTTTGGAGGGAGGTGCAGCTCGAGCAGCAATTCCCAGTCCGAAAGACGAAACCCGAACATTCAGGTACAGACCTTCACGAGGCTCTGTTCCTTCGTCTCCATCTTCTGAGAGAGGAATGGAAAAGGAACCGAGCAGAGATGTTAATGGATGGAAGGCCAAAGTGAAAACCCATAAAGCAATGAAAAATCCTTGTACTTTTGAGACTTCTACAACTTCTACCGAAGCGTTCCACCAGCTAATAATAATTATCCCTTTGGTCAGTGACACCAAAACCAAAAAGCTCTTCTTGTGACCCACAAGTTCGGGTCATAAAATAGTAACTTTATCGCTTTAAAATACTGAATATATGAATGCTCAAAATAAATTCAATTAGGTAGACAGTAGCCGTGTAATTTAAATTTAAAAAAGACATCCAGGTGACTTACTTCTGTCTTTGCCTGCGGGTGGAAGCTGTGGGAGTTGCCGACCTCGTCTACTGGACATAGGGGTACTTGTGGGACTGGTCTGGACGGACCCACTACGCGGATGTGCCCTATATGACAAAAAGTAGCAGACAATGGCATGAGACATAAAGTAGGAGCTCGATGTAGGTGTTGCAAAGAAGAGAAAAGCGTACATTTGATCGGAGACGAGCAACATGAAAAGTAAAACTATGTTCTTTAATGGAGAGCCAATACGTGATTTAATGTAGTTAGCTGGGGTCATTCAATTATTTACAATATATGTAAGGTCACATGTAATTTAGTCACTGCCAGACACAGCAGAAATCAATCAGTGATAGAAAACTCGCTGTTGACTTTATCTCCAATATAAAACCAATGCACACAGCGGTGATGTTTTGGCACATGGCATGGAAGTGGAGGGCTACATCGACTGTAGGGAGCTGAGCTGCAATAAAAGATGCCAGGAGTGAATCGCATGTAAAGTCGACTCATCAAGCTGCAGGAGAGAAGAGTTGAAATGCAGAAACAGCAGACCAGTGCGACCATGCGTTCAGACTGTCCCCGCAGGCTTCCAACTCAAAAACAAAAGAAGAAGAGGAAAGAGGACAAAAAAAGTAAAAACAGAATGCCATCCGAGGACAAACGGCATCAGTTGATGTTAGTAATGAAATCAAAGTAAAATGTCGGCCCATCACTGCTATACTCACTCAAGCGTATGAGCAGTGTGTCCCAAATTAAAATTTTTCTTTTTAATAAAAGGAGTCAGCAAGCTAGCTACGGTGTCAGGGTCATCGTGCCCGGGATATGTGTAAAGAAAATACAGCACATCCACTGGTGCTTTTGGAGACAAAACAGAAAGTGGCGTGTGACAGGTGGAGGTCGGTGGAGTGAGGTGAGCTGAGGTGAGGTGAGGCGGGGAAGCGGGGGATTAGGAGGGTGGGAGGTAGGTGAGTGTGATGTGGTATTTTTGGTTTATTCTGGGAGTTAGTCAGGGTCGGGGTGGGTGGGAGCTCATGGGACAGCTTCTGTACGGCTTTAAGCCTGTAAAGGTTTTAGCTGTACAAACATTTAGAAGAGGTAGAGCATCTCTGGAGGCAGAAATATTCTTACAGGTTGATTTAAAGCTCAGTGTGAGAGTACAGCACTTTTAGCTAGGCTGTCTACATGAACCCTAGTTGTAAAACCTCAGTACATGCTGCACATCCCTTGTTAAAAGCAGAATATTAGCCTTGATGTTTCAAATGTGCTTTTCGAGAGTAAGGTTTATTAAGAAAAATAACAAAAAAAAAATCGCCCAAACAAATCTTGAAATACTTATTAATGTTTAAATTTTCTGTTGAAATGATTTCTCCCTCCAGTGAAGCTATGCTTCTGGGAAATGAGTGTACAACTAAAAAGTACTGTCTGCTTCTATGCCACGTTGGCTGGCTCTGATCTCTGATCTGGGTCACACCTCGTCAAGGCAGGTGAGGGGGGGGCGGACCTCCCAGATGGCAGAGAAGGCATGGACCTCATGAGCGAAGAGTCGTGGGGGCGTTCAGTGGAGCGTGAGCGGGACGTGTGGCGCTCTATAGTGGGCCGCTGGTCTGCAGAGCGGGACCTGCTGTGATACTCGTGTCTATCCATGGCTCCGTGGCTCCTACAGAGGTTGTTGAGAGACAGGCAGGCACTCAGTGTGTCTCCAGCAGGGCACGGACAGTAAGGAGGGCAAAGAAATTTTCTGCACCCTCAAAACTCCAAAGGATCATGTGCAATCCTGTATTTTTAATTGGTATAATCAATCTACTACCAATAGCATAGATACTTGTCAGAAGCTAATTGGGTGTTATGTCAAGTGTGCCTGATTTGCAGGTAGTGATCAAAACTACCTAGAGATAAAGACAAAATGAAATGATTCCTAAACTCTTAAAACACACATTATTGTTTATGACTCTCCACATGAGGCTAATTTACTTTATTTAAAGAGCAGACAATATGGACTGTGCTAGGTGGCTCCTGTGTGCTTTGCAGTCCTTGGTGGAACCAGTGACTTAACTGTGAAGTACTCAAGACGTGTGCAATGAACAAGGACTATGTGCTGTCTCTCTGTAGGTGATAGGTGAGCATTCTGTTTGAGCCAGAGTGGGAATGTGAGGGAAAAGTGACTGCACTTGGATTATTTTGTCTGTTATATTCTGCAAAATGCCCAGGCAAAAGAACTTTTGGCACAGTGACAATGAAGGCAGATTCAGATGATCTGAAGAGCTGTAGGGGAAAAAAAACAGGTGAGGTTTCTCAGCTGGGAAAATTACTGACGAGGTACAGAGAGGAAAAAAAAATTTGTACAGAAATTCATTGATCAAGAAATAAATTCACATATTAAAAACAGTGAAGTGAAAAAGGCACCTCAGTCTTGAGAAGCAGAGGGGATTTTAGAGCATGCTGTTTGCTAACCTTTGTATGTATGTTACCAGTTTCGATTCACACACCGTGAGTAATAATATTTTATAGTTTTTGTACTTTCAAACAGAACAAAATAGTATTGAAATGAACCGCTGCACACACTGTTTGCTAAAATGCAAGAAATGCAAGAAAACACTATAGATATGTGGGAACGTCTTCAGTCAAACTGGGTTCTAATGATAGCAAATACTTTATAAATAATTTCATTAGATCAGTCCATTTTGTTATTGCCATTCAGTGTCTGTAGTCTTCTCAAGTATGAAATATTGTCCAGTAGAGGAAATGTCCTGATAAAGGCTCATCAGTCAGTGACCTTACACAATCTATACAACAGTCATTTACTCTCATCATCACCGGGTCCCGTTCTCATTACGTGCTACGGCCAAGAATCTTTCAGTGATGTGAGGTTACGTCTGTTCAAGCATCACATTATGTGTAATTCAGTGGACGCAACTGTAACACACAAACTGCTCTGCTCACTAGATTCTCACAGGAATGTTTGTTTTCCTGGCTCGGGAAAGTTGCTGTATTCATTCCTACATGCTGCATACTGTACAGGCTTTGTCCTGCTTTAAGTGCACTCTGGAGGGTTGCACTTAAACTACAGAACCATGAAAAACCTTTTCTGCAGGCAAATCACCCAAAACTAAAACATCTGGCAAAAGGCTCCAACTCCACTAATGCTCTTTGTTGCTAGACTCTTTTTTTCCCTCATCCAAGTGGCTTTTGTGTCTGTATTGTGCCCTCATTTCTTTTCAGGTCTTACTATGCCTGACTGCAGACAGAAACAAACTATCTATATGAAGAGTGGAGGGGAATCAACTGTAGTCCTCTGTTGGCTACTTTCCTTTCTCTGTCAGTTTAGACAAAAGGAAAGACACAGAGAAATAGATGGACAGCTCTTGTTAATGGGTATCTAGGTTATAGGCTTAGCCTGAAGTCGGGCCAAGCCAGGCCTTAGGGAAACTTTGTGACAGTTTTATAAAGTCAGTCGGGCTCTTGGGCTGAGTTCAGAAGACTCATCAGTTTTTTTTTCCTCCTGGAGAGGAGAGAAGTAGCACAAATGTCACGTTATTCCTGACTGGAAGCCAGATGGCAGCAGGCAAAAGACTGAAGCATGGTGCACCAGTGTGGGTCGGGAATTGATGGGTGTCAGTAGGCCTTTCTATAGGTGCTTGAAACAGCCCAGCAATCCATTCAGACCATATAGAAGAAGTCAAAAGGCCACTCTATGGATGACTGTAAGTGCAACTGTCAATAGCATGTTAAATTAAAAAAAAAAAAAAAAACAACATCAATAATAACAAACACCACTGATCAACATATGGCTGTTTGCATAATGCGCATGGGTACACAATGACATCAACAAAGGAACAGTCAAGTGCGAGCCAGCACTTACACAGCCGACATCAGCAACACAAATAGCTCTGAGCCTCATCGTACAGAGGCAGTTGTGTAACATAACTGTACAGCCACACAACCTCAGAGCCGTGATGACTCCTTAACAAAAACCGATATCAGGGAGGATATCATTTTCCGTCATCACCTGTACGATCACGGATAAATTAAAGACGGATGAAGAACAACTTCAGGAGACCACAAGACGGCGGGCGCAGCAGCGCGTGTCAGTACCTCTCGTAGTCATAGTCGGAGGAGTAGGCGCCCTCTGAATAGGCACGGGTCATCCTAGTGGAACGCAGTAACCTGACTGCTTCCTCGCGGCAGATCGGATACACACGATGGTTGCGGCTGCCGAGAAAATATCACAGCTGGTCAGCGCTCGATTTTTTAAATTTTGTTTCACCACATGGGGGAGGCAACATGACAAAGAAGCTGGAATTCAGATCTCAAAACTGAATACAAAAGTACACTGATGCGCTGAATGTACCCATACGACTGCAGGGGAAACCACCTCTGCTGGACAAAACTTCACAACCACAAAACACTTATCTATTTAACAGTATGGCCAACAGACACTCTTTTAGTAAAAAGACAAGAGACAGACTGAACTTCTCCAAAGCCTGCATTCATGCACATGATTTATTCTAGAAGATTTAAATGCTTATATGATAATGAGATGGTGAGAGAGAGCAATGCTGATACTGGATGAAATGTATGGCTATTATCCAATCAACATGATGCACCACGGGAAAGTAAACAGTTCTTTATATATTTAATCTTTGGCAGAAGAAATGTATACTGATACACATACACACAAAACACTCACGGCACTGACATTGAACAGGTCAGCTGAAGTGATTTACACCTCAAATCCACAAACCCATGTGGCTTTTTAAAGCATGCCACGGTGTCAGTGCTATATCTTCAACACCCTAATGGAAGCTTTCCTCAAAAAACAACCCAACAAATAAAATATATAAAAAAATAGGCTTGTGGGTTGGTGCATGGTTGGGGAGGGGGTTTGGCTGGCTGGTAACTAAAGTAGCAAAGGTGGGGCTTCATGCAAGCTCTGGTAAAAGTCTACCTGGGGTCCTTCTGAGGGTCATCAATAGGCTGAGTATGTCTGGTTCGAGGTAGGGTGAGAAAATGGCTGCAACCACATGGAAGGAGGAGAGAAGACAGAGATGGATCTGAGATGTTGAAGAGACAGAAGAGAAGGAGGAAAGGAGAGAAAGACAGCAGATCGGAGACAAAGATCATACAGGCGGACAGCCGGAAGGGGGAGGAAACCGAGGGGAGGTTGTAAAAGAGAGAAGCTCACAGGAGAGAGGTTAATGTACACGATTCAGGGTGGAAAAACTGGTGAGGAAGATGAGAGGTGAGAGAAAGCCGAGAAATCGCACGGCGAGGAGACGACTTCCTCGGCTCTAGTGCACAGACAGATAAAAATGGTACACAGAAGACGCCGGAAGAGAAAAGCACAGTCCGAACCCCTAAACCGGTCCCCTCTGCTCGACCATTAAACTACTTTAGACCGTTTAATAACTACAGATTTTTTTTACATACATCATTTCCCAAGAAAGTCAGAAAACATTAAGTGTTAAGAAAATAAACCAGCAAGGCTCACAGAAAGCTATGAAAGCCATTTTTTACAATATTATAGGATACCTGGGAGAATGCCAAATTCTCTGTGACATTTTCAACTGTTTTCAATAAATAACTGCAAGCTGTTAATTGAAGCAGCTGAAATACACTCAACAGAGCACCGTCCCAGACAATTTAGATAAGTGCATTTTCTGCATCTGACACTGATTTAGCTCCAGCTTCAGAAGTATCAAATAAAGTTAATTGGAAAGGGTGCAGGGTGGGCTGGGGGTGGGAATAGCTCCGACCAGGCGGTGCCAAGGCCACAATTGGACACTTGGAGCAATATTTTCCAAAGCTCACAGAAAATAAGTGCTGATGGAGGATAACTGACCACTCCCCCTTGACCACGTCTTCCATAAAGATAGTGAAATACAGTACATGCAAATCCTGTATAATGTGCTCAGCACTGGCAACATTTCTTTGGCTCCCAATGTTTCCTGCAGAATTTCAGTCTCTCGATTCAAACTTGTGCACTTGTCTTTCAGGAGTGTAGTCTCATCCGAGGCTGGTGCTCATGTGGAATTTTAGCTTGTGCCAATGCTATTTTTAACTCTAAGAATGATGATTTTAATCGGGTATTTCCTGCGCTCGTTAATTCTCACTTTCTTATTTGGAAATAAGGAGTAGATGAAGATTGAGGACACAAGTAGGGGAGAATCCACACTACTGTATCAGGAGGACCCTGAATAAAAAAACAACACAAAAAACCCCCACTACATCACATTAAAGATGAAAGTGCGGACAAAGAAGAAGAGTTTAAGGCAAAAGGCGTTGTGCTGTGGTGTATGCATACATAAACAGCTCACTGTGTACTTACTCGTCTTGCGCTGGTCAGCATTTACACATTCATGCTTAAATAAGTAGATGCATGTGCTGCACATAAGTGTGAGCTGAAGTGTATGCGTGTGTGTACCGGTCAGGTGTGCAGTTGTCGTCAGACAAACTGTGGTGCTCCACTCTAGCAGAGGAACTGTACTGAGAAGGCCTAAGGTCAAGTGCTTGGTCCAGACTTCTGCTGTGTGACAGAAGTGGACTGATCACCCCTTATGTATGCTACATACTGCCCCCTGCTGTCCAAGAGGCACATGGCCTCATGTTTAACAGAGGCCATGAGAGGAAACGGGAGAGACGCTGCACACCACAGAGGGTTGAGGTGCTATTTTGAAGTAAATATAGCAACATTTGGTGCTACAACCAAAACAGGTGGCGAATTTGAAAGTAACCTGAAACAGCATGCGTTTCAGCTAAACTAGTGAACCTATTTTTTTGTCGATTCCAAAGCATGGAAGCACAACACTACGATGTACAAAAGACCTACCAAAAACTATACATGTCGGGCCTTTGGTGCATTGAGCAACTGGTTACCTGGAGGGTGGGGGAACGCTGGGAGAGCGCGACCGCACCCTGTTTATATCAGCTGACCGAGAGCAGTGGTTAGAAGACATGACCTGCTCGGGGACCGACAGCGTGGAGCTCTGGAAGTCTCTGCCATTTGGCCGGTAGTCTGTGAAAACAACAATGAATAAAGAGAAGCAGGGGGTGGAGAGAGCAGGAGAGAGAGGGTACAGCGTTATTTAAGCGATTCCTTTATTCCCTCACAACACCAGAGATGCTACTTGTATGCTTTTTACTTGCTTTTTACTTGAGTTATTTAACTAACTACATATGGTTAATGAACAATAATGAATGCTGCTTTTGCAGACTTAGTTTGACCACTGTCTGTAATAACTAAGAGGAGTAAAGCAAATCTTGGTCAAACTTTGCAAAGCTAAAAGCCATTCTGCACAGGTGACAGACTCATTTTGATATGCTGAGTCTTTATCGTACAAAAAATGAGGAGTGGGTTTCCATAAAGGTGTAAGTCATCTGCTGTTTTAACACTGTGCATTAAACATGAAAATAGCCTTTCAAAAGAATCTGAAAGATTATAATGAATTTTCACTGGTAGACTGATTAGTCCATTGAACTTGAAAGAGTTCATTAACCGATAATCAGACATGGCTAAGAGCCACGGTTAAGGTCAGTGCTTAGAACTATTAATGTTGATTGATATTCAATAGAGTGTATAGAATATTTAAAATGAGTTAAAGAAAAGCCTGATTCCAAGTTGGAAAAGATGGAAAGGTAAGAAAGAAATGTTGACCTTCACTTTAAAGGAGTCGCATGTTAATAAGATTTTCTTTTGTGTGTCGTAGATAGAATAAAATAGATTTCTTTAAACGTGTCAGGCTAAATGACCCATAGAGTAAATTGTCATATTCTCCAAGCCTACCATTTGTTTATTGACATAAACAAATACAAGCTACAAACATTTGAAAAAAAAAATGACCACAATCCACAATGTCTTCACTCCATTATGATGTAAATTAAATTTTCAAAGGAAAACATTTGTCATTTCTTTAAAAAGATGCTCCACTAGTGAGCTTCCTGCAGCGCAGCAATCAACTTCCATGCAAAGCCAAATTAAATCTATTCTTCCTCCTGACATGTTGCAGATGCAAAGAGGAGATTCTTTGTTGACAATTAATAGGTTTTAACAGGAACTGGCTGCAATGGTGCAGAAAGAGGCAAAAGAGCAGAGGGTTAAAGCAACATGAAACATGTTGCACAGATGTAAAAAGTCTTAAAAATGTTCAGTTGTAAGGCCCATTTGTCTTCTACAGTAGCTACTAGTAGCTATAGTAGCTGTACTGTGTGTACTGTATGTTCTGTAAAACAAAAGTAAAATGTTTTCTTCCCCATTTGAACTGTGGAAGCAGATAACGGCAAAAACCGCAGATGAGATGCAGTGGAGCCCGAGCAAAGGGGAGGGAGCAACCAGGGCTGAGTGAAGGGGTATTCCTTTCACTGTGGATGAAGTGAGGGGGTGGGGGTGGCTGGCATTGTGAGAGGCAGTGAGGGGCTGATGAGAATTTTAAAGAGGCTGGAGGAGGATTTCCCTCAGCTGCGGTATCATCGGCAGGCCGGTCTGAATGTCTGTGTGTGTGTGTGTGTGTGTGTGACACGCAGTTTGCTACAGAAACTGTCTATTCTCCTGTTTGTTTTCTCACATTTTTCCACTCGCTTCTTCTGTGTGGTGAGTGATGTGAAACGACCTACAAACAGTGCAGGTAGCTGTTTCCATCAAGCTTAATTGCAAAAAAAATATAGCATGTCCCGTGGTCTTTTTGTGAAAACTGAGAAGGAGAACTAACAATTATATAAAGACAGGCACATGTTGCCCTCAAATGCAACCTTGTGCTTAAAATTTAAAGGAAGCCTTTTTTTAAGCCCTCACTGTCTTTTTCAGCATAATTTTTCTTCCTAGTTATTATTTCATGTGAGCAAATTTCAAGCACTTCTCAGTCTTTTTTTCCCCTTCCCCTGTCTTATTCTCTCTGGCTGTTAGCAGCTCTGTCTCTGCTTTTCTGATGCAGCGTGGGCGTGCTGCTGAAGCCTTAGCAAGGACAGCAACTAGCAGTGCAGAGGCAGACAAAAAAGCCCTCTGCTCCCTAACTGTGCTGCTGCTGTTGTTTGCTGATGGGTTGCAGGATCTTAGCCCGATACTGCGAGATGTGATGACGTGTGTAAGCATCTTTCCGGTGGCGACGTGAGTGAGGTTAGCTAAGTACATTATTAAGAATCGTAATGCAGCTCTGGTGAAATGGAGTGGATTCGATTCACTTACGCCACACAACGATGACCTTCTTAATATGGCCTTGAACTGTTTATTACCTGTTATTACCCCAACGCCGTCTTCACAATCATAGTCTGAGATCTCACTGTCACTTATCCTTTGGGATCCTTTGAGAGAAAGAAACAGACCAAAAGGCAAAGAAGCAGGAAAGAGGAGATAGAGGGGAGAGAGAGAGAAAGAGGTCATTTTCATTCCCTTTTTCATTTATTTAGATGTTTGTTTGTTTTTTTTCAAATAATAAGTCACCCCTGCTCTGACTGTAATGCTCACTGGTCAAAGTGAACCCTCCAACTAAAACAAATAATGCAGCATTTCGCCGCTCGATCCCAACAAGAGCAGCCGATCCTTCTTCATCTGAGCCGTGGCACTTTGAAATGGCGCAGTCAATCATTCAGTGCACACGTAAAGGTGGAGACGGGGAGAAGTGATAGGGCCGTGTAGCTCTTTCCTCATCCTTCCCCCGTAGCCTTATCACCCCCACTCCCCACCCAACGCATCCCCACCGCCTTCACCGTTCATTCAACTTAAATCAACTGGACACGTGTGCTTTTTCAGAAATGACAAGTGCTGCACTCTGGCAGTGCCGCTCCCAACCTCTCATCTCAGTTGGCTGAAAACTTTTTACAGCTGTCAGCTCTTTCACTTCACGCTAACACCAACACCCAGAAAATCGTCCTAGTGGGGGAGCGAGCCAGCCTCCCGTGGCTGAAAGAAGCAGCGGAGTGAAGCCGTATGGCATAACGGACTGCAGCGCAGTCCTCTTAAGCGTGTTAGGAGGTATGAGGGCCAAAGACTCTAACAATAGTAAGACAAGGGTCAAAAATATCCTATATAAAGAGTATTGTATATTTCATGCATGCAGATAATCAAATATTATTTTCCTCTTTTTATTTTTTTGAGTAAATATGCCAACTGTGTTAGAGGATTAGGCCAGTAAATAAGAAGTATCACAAAAGCAACACAGTCGCCTGCCGTTCTCAAGAAGATATTCACAATGAAGACACACAAACACAAGCAAAAGCAGAATGGGCAGAGTGTGCCAATGGTAATCTGTGCAACTGTTAAGAGGAAAATATTCATAATAGGCCAAATAACAAACAGTATACATGACAGAGGAGAGGCAGGTGGTCATAGGCCAATTATGTCTGTCAGGAGGGGCGGACAGCTCGGGTTTTAATAACATCACATTAGGACTGAATACAGATTGGCAGAATCTGGTTTTGGGTTACAGGGTGGGGGTTGTGAGGCAGTTAACAGGTGAACACACAGAGAAGGAGAGACCACTGTGTCCTAAATCTCCCCGTTTCCCCACAGCGTCTGTGGTTCTGCTGCTCTGTGTGGATAAGGAACGAGCGGTGTAAAATATACACCAAACCTCCGCACAGAAATCCACGTAAGGCAGCAGAAGCGTCAGCTGTTAAGGGGGAGGGGGGAAAGGGGTGGAGAATTGGGGCACAAGGGTGTGTGTTTAAAGAGGAGGAGGACGACACTCAGATGCTCCATAAAGCTGCAATGTCTGGCAGGGCAAAGGTCTTTACCTGAGTTGTGTGAATAAGAGCCTTTGTCTGTAAAAGCAGAAGCAGTAAGGTAGATGTGACATGGACAACAGAAACAAAATATGCAGAAATAACAACGGCCGTAAAGGCCTCGATGACCTGAAGCAGCAACAGAAAAGGCCAGCAGGCAAACAGCATGGGCACTGATCAGATAAATATATATGGCTCCTTGTTTGTTGAAACAACTACAAAAATCAGAAAGCTACCTATTGTTGTTTTCATTTATCTCAGTGCTAAAATTTAGATTTCTGAGTGTTCGGTGCCATGAGTCTGTCGCCACAGATATATTTGTATGATGGCAAGCTTCAAGTAATAAAAAAGGAATATAAGGAAACGCGCATGAAGACAAGCTACAAAACGCACACGAGTAAAAACCTCCATTGACTCTTTCTCTGATAGCTGCAGATTTCTCTCTCTTATCATGCCACAGCTGGTATAAATGTGTTTTTGCACTTAAGGCCACATTATTAGCTGCTGTCATTGCTTCACCTGTCTCATTGGTAGTGTGTGGCGGGGTGTGAGGAGGTGCATACGTAGCAAGGGCAGAGAACCATCAGTGACAGTAGAGTACATTAAACACTCTGATATTGTGCAGGGTGCAAATGAATTAGATAAAAAACAAACGTGTTTTTTAATCTTTCATTTATCGTAACCTTGCTTGAGTGTAAAGCTCGGAAAGCAATGTTTAAGTCAAGCATGAGTCATTAAAACAAAGACTCCCTGTCTCTCACTCAAAGTAAGGATTATTAATTTAACCCATGTAATGGACTGATAGTCGGTATCAGCAGATACCCGAAGCCAATGTATCTGCATTGGTATTAGAAAATCAGCTGACCTGCTTCCATCTCACACTGTGAATGAATGTCACATGTCTTTACATTACAGCAGGTAAAATGTTTTTCCTACAGGATGCCCACCTTCTGACTCTTATAGTCACTTTCAGCACATTTTGGGGCCATTTGAGCGACAGAGGTGTTACTCACTCTGCAGCCGCCGCGTTGGACTCTCTCCGTGGAGCTGCCGGCGCTGTGCGTTCGGGGAGGCACGTGGGAGTGGGATAGATGACACGTCGTGTGTTTGTAGCTTGTACCAGTGTGGCTCGTCATCGAGAAGAGCCGTCTCCAGCTCAATCAGGATCTGGCAGAAGTAAAAGGCCCAAGTAAATTTTCTCTCCTTAAAAAAATGGCTTCACTCCAAATGTTTTAAGCTCACATATTTTTTTTCTCACTGATGGAATCAGGGCAAAGTAAAACATGCTAGCTTTTACAGAAAATGTAAATCCCCAAAAAAGCCCTTTCTGTCACTCACACGCGAACAGAAAAAAAGAAAGTTCCTGATCCATGATAGGCAAGGACTGGACCACCCAACACTTTGTGATGGCCAGCAGCTTTCTTAAAGGCTTGACACCATTCAAGAGGATAAGCTGAGATACTGTTACTGAGTGTCTCTGTGAGGGCTTGGGTTTGGTTTTCTCACCTCTCCCAGGAATTCGCTCTCCTCCTCCCTCACCCTGGCTTGGTCCCACAATGTGATCTCCAGCATACGTTCCCGAAACTCCCGCCGGTGCACCGGCGAGTACATAAAGGTCTGGTTCCATTTGGGCTCTAAGGATTTCTTTACTGTTTTTGTTCTCCTCTTGCTTTTGTCACTGGAGGAACAATAATTCAAACTGTTTTTATTTACAATCATGATAGGGAAGAGCCACGAATACAACAAATCCATCACACGACACAGCACAGAGCACAGCACCACAGCATGCAGCTGCAGGGAACGACATGACAAAGTGAACGTGCTAACTGCTTCTTAACGTCCATTTTCTGCATTCCTCATCAATACATAAGAATAAATTACTTAATAAGAAAATAAGAGCATAATTATGAAATAAACCTCACATCAATGCCTCCCATAAATTGACCTTAGTGCATAATCTTTTTTTAGTGTCTTTCTACCATCGGGGAAATTATGCCCTGAAATAGAGGAACTGTTTCTACTCTTACCTTCTGTCAGGGAGGAAGTAGATTTTGACGTAAGGGTTCCTGGGCCGGCCGTCTTCCCTGGGTGGCAGGTCTTTGGCACCCAGGATGGTGACGATTAGCTGATGGCCCACTTTGTCATACCACAGTTTGACCTGGGGGAGGGGGGAGAGCAGAGGCAGCCTGCTGAGAGACAGCTCAGGGCCAGCACAAATGAGAGCACATAAAGGGAATAATGCAGGAGAAGACAACTTCATCGAGTCCTCACATATGCATCTATATCCTTTTGTTGAGTTCAACACCTTTTCAATCAGTATAAGCCTCAGTGCGGGGTCTTCTCCTGTATTTACCCTTTAGGAAAAAGGAGGAGGGTATCCAATTGCTAGGATGTCATTTTCATAAACTAAAACTATATCAATGTTAAAATGGTGTGATAATGATTTTTAAAGATGCAAAAACTCTCCTTTTCGTGTTCTAATTTAATCCTTATGTTTCTTTTTTTAAATCTATAGTATTCAAGTGTGTCTGATTACAGTTTTTTAAATGGAACTGACCTTTACAGCTGGAGTGAATTGTAGTGAAATGCTAAAGGCAACATGCTCTAAAATTAACACTGTCCCACCATCTACCTATATGATGGCATCTCTAATAGGGTCCTCCCAAGTATTCAGTGGGGATCGATAACGAGAAATCAGTCATGCTGCTGCAATAGGAATCAAACAGTTCACGCTAAAAGAAAAGTATGGACTCCAGGAGAAAAAACTTAGAAGAAATAAAAGGCCAGCTGAAGCCTTAAAAGAAATCAGATGAAATGAGAAGTAAGACTTCTAAGTTCTGGTCCATACTTCATTCAGAATATGATTATGGATAGGGGTCTGCACTGTTTAAGAGGACTCGCCGTTCATGCAGCAATGCAGGAAAGAGCATTCAAGACAAGTCGAAACAGACAGCAGGGGGCTCATGGGAAAAACAAATTGTACCAAGTAATCTCTAGCCCACCAAAATGCCACATACTGCAAAATATGAATTCAAATGTAGAGTAAGATTCACCATAAAAACTAGCAACAATAAGTAAAACACCTAAATATATACTACTGAGTCTGATGTACAGTGTGTCCAATACAGCCAACTAACAAGTAAGCAGTTTACTGAAACATGCTGGCTTTAACAACATTAATGTAGACACACACATAAACCTGAACGATTCATATGTTTGATCTGGAAAACACGCAGTGCACCCTTTCCTCTGCATGCTCTGTTACACACACCAACAATATTACCGACACATAGGATATGATGCTTAGATCTCGCTTAAGCAAAACAACACAACAGTGAAATAAATATCTAAGGTTTAACACAGGAATATTAACCCTCAGGCTATCTAAATCAATAATGACCATAAAACAGAAACCACAGAAAAGACAGAGTGATATTAAAGCAGGCAGCTTGTAGCAAAGAGAAGCCTTCCAGGCTTCGCTCTGTTTGGAGTTATTATTTGGGAGGTACAATTTGCTTATTCGTTAAATCTGGTATCTGTAATGGGGGAAATGCAGTTTTGGCTTTGGCTTTCCAAAGAGGATGGTGAACTCAGTATCTTTTCACTGCAACATGAAACCACACAGCCATCAGCTCAGATCTGCTAATTAGCATCACTTCAACTCGCACATGGGGGAGCCCTTCTGTGTATGCGTGCAGGGTTAGAGTTATCGAGGCCTGGGTTCACGTCACACTGAAGCAGGAGAAAAAAGAAAAAACAGAGATCTTTGTCCTAGAAAGATTGACAGAGACACCGACCAGCATTGCCATAGACACAATACTAAACTACTGTTTCAATTAGGTCAATCACTGAAGTCAGTCCAAAGACATCAGGCAATGCAAGAGCGTCTCTTAAAATAAGCTCCGATTAGTCGAGCATGCACTACTTGGGGATAATGATGTGTATGGGTTACAATGAGCTATAAGAACTCTAATCATAAGAATGATACCAAGAAATCAAATCAAGGAAAATGACACAATGCACTGCACTAAGAGGGAAACTCAAAGCTGCCATTTCCCCAGGAATGCATTTTCCAAAGTATGGAAACAGAAAAAAAGGCCAGTCAACAGTCAATGAGCAAAAAAAACCAAACAGAGTTTGTGCCCTTCACACAGGGCCCATTACCTGGACCCTAGGGGCAAAAGGCGGTGTTCTTCTACTAAGGCTTTGGCTCTGGATAAGCATAAATTAAACAGCAAAAGAAAAAAAAGAAAGAAAAGAAAATGCAATAAACCAAAACCACAAAACACAACAACTCACAATACACCCAAAACACAACAACAGAAATTTGTCATTTAGATGAAAGAATTAAGCCAGCAGGTTTTGTATTTTTTAAATTTCTGCTTTCTCAAAGATTACTCATCCCTGAGCTGCTCTGCCCTGTTCTGCATAGGTCCTCGGAGAAAATTATCAGCGGCTCACAATTAGATCTTTTTGTCTTTTAGACCTTTTTCTCCTCCGCCTCAAAGCTTGCGTCACAGTGACGTTAAACACGATTGTTATCCACAGACGATGCTTGATACAGACAGCTCCTTACTGTGTAGAATTACTCATCAAGGTCTTGCAAGGTTTATCCAGTGAGCTGAACTGTTTTAGTGATTAGTCCACTGCGAACTTCAAGGTCGGCCCTCTCGTGAAAATCCAGAACTTTAAGCAGCGAGTGGATGAAAAGGCTGCGCTATACAGTGTAGGATATGTTTTAGTGGTGACCAAATACTCTATGAGGCTCTCATAAATATTGAAAGAGCAGGAAAAGCACATTCTTGAATCCTAAATTTAAGATTTGATTTATCTCATTTTAATGCAGCCTTTTTACCAAATTTACCCCAGGAGGGTTTTTATACTGGATAATGAACAACACACAACGTAATCTGATCTACAGTCCTGTGCTGGCTTGGTGATGGGCCAGCTGAACAGGCTGAGTGAGTTTGCTGAGTCTGACAACGTTTAACAAGGGTTTGAATTAAGATTTAAACTTAAAAAAAAGAAAATAATTGGTTGCATAATGAATCTGCAATGGGAAAATTATACTTACTAGCTCATCTATGATCTCAAAAGCAATTAAATCCTCTCTAACAATCCAATCCTCTTCCCGGCTTTTACATGTAGCCCATATGTGGAGCTGAGCTCACTTACTGAGAGCTGTCCTGACAGGTACTGGGGGGCGTCCCTCAGCATGCTGGGACTCATAGGAGAAGTGACAGAGATGGAAGGACGGTCCATCTTCTGAGACTCGAAAGAACTCGAACCTGGCAGGGCACAGACGACACAGTCAGATAATCCACCCATCTGTTTGCTGTTTGTAGTTTTTGCGCCGCACAGGGAGAAAACTGGAGATTGTAGCAAGAACATACAAAGAAAGGAAACGCAAAAAGAGCACAAAAATCTTGCCATGTGGGGGAAGATAAAAAGGCAGGGTGACAAACGCAATCTGCGCCAAACAGACATTTCCTTCACTTGGTGTTTCTGGGATGATTAATAGGATCAAACGGCACACTGTCAAACCCACGGAAAAAATGTTGACAGAACTCACTTGATTCCAGTTGTGAGTGTGTGCTGTCTGGTATCCTTGGAATATCTCTGAAAAAAAAGCAAAAAAGAAAGTGAAAGAGTGTGAGAAGCAGGAGAGAAGGAGGGGGATGGAGCGGATCAATTTAAGCTAATACCAAATGCACTGCGCTTTAATGACCGTAAGCACCACATTAGTCTTCATTCACCCAACGGCCCCCTCAATGGCACAAAGCAGGTCAGACCTAGGAATCGACAAAGCAAAGGTGCCTCTGTCTTTCAAAAGCAATCGGAGTGTAGAGGATAAACAATGTGACGGGCTTTCAAGTTTTTTGCCGGCCGGCATTCTTTGGTGCCTTATGAGGCCAGAAATGGCAGAGCCGGAGCCAGAGGGAGGGAGGAACAGATGCTGAATAAACAGCTCGGCACAGCTCCTTCGCAAACACATTCTGAGCTATGTTCCCTTCAGATTCAGTCTCCACATTCCAAAAATATGAAGCTATTCTGAGTCACAGAGGCAGCTATGTGGCACAAACCTACAGATCTTGGCACTGTAATAGTTTTACAGCGAAATCAAATCAAATAGGTAAGAGATGTTGGTACAATCTAAAGTGTGATTCTTTGAAATACTGACTAATGCTAAAGTCCAGATTTATGCATGGTTTGCACCAACGTGAGAGTGAAGCAGGGACAAGTCTTTTATTGTTGTAGCTGGTATTTTGCATTTAGGAGTTTAGGAAGACAAAATACTGAAAGTATTTAAATGAAACTATATGAGTCACTAAGATTAGAGTAACAACATATCCTACAGAGTCCTGTAAATTCTGCATTGGTCAAAGCGGGAGAATGAATGCTCATACAAGTAGGTTTGTTTATACACTTAATATAGATTTAATATAACCTAAACTTTATGCTTTACATTTCACACAGATTTTCCCATAATAATAACTGCAGAGAGTACTGCAAAGTCTGTTTGTGCGTCCTCAGCCACACATACAGAGCTCTCCAACATCACTCCAAATATTTTTCATATCACGTCTGTTTCATAAAATACTGAAATGTCTGTCAAAATCCATCTATAAATGTGAATTGTGTGTCTCAGAGCTGTCTGTGTGTCCCATTCTATCCTTTGTTTTTAAAGAAATACTTGAAGCATGCATTTCCACACACAGCACAACAGGAGCAGAAGTTATACTCTGCTTCTCATCTGACTGGCTGTTAGACACAGATTCCAGGTATATGCAGTGGAGGTATGTGTAATAAAGCAGCCCCTCTCTAGATGAATCCCACTCTTGATCTGAGATGTCAGGATTCATCTAGAGCAGGGACGTCAAACTCATTTTACATCGTGAGCCACATACAGCCCAGTTTGAGCTTAAGCGGGCCAGACCAGTAAAAACTCCCCTTCTGTCAGCGTGAAGAAGTTTAGCCACACATGGAAATGTTTAGACATCTTAATAGAAGAAAAAAGAACTTCAACAGTAAATCTTCATTTTTCCACATGATAAAGAAATGTTGCTGAAGGAAATTGATTTTTTTTAAACTTTGGACCCACTATAAAACACAGAAACTTGTACTGGAGATAGGGAAAGGTTCAGGATATTTTTTGTTTATTTATTACTTGGTACCTTTTGGTGTAGTGTGAATGACCATGACCATTGAAGCACAGAATCTATTCCTTCCTTCACGTTTACCAAGGCCATCCAGTGGGCTGGAAGGGAGTCTTTGGCCCCCAGGCCATATGTTTGACACCCCTGAACCAGATAATTGCTTCTCCCATCACTGAGACCTCACCCTGTTCTGAGTACCGGTATGTTTCAAAAAAAAGAGTTTTTTTCTTATAGTGCCTCTCCTTGGTCTGAATTATCGACCTGCACCATATTTAGTTTTATCATTAAACACACAATTCCTTTTCTGGGGGTCACAAACTATCCCAGCATATAGTGGGAAAAAGGTCGATGCCCTTGACAGATCCTAGTCCTGGCTTCGCTTAATTAAAAATTACATTTTCAAATCACAATTTTAACACATCTAGTGAACTCGTCTGCTTCAGTATGCTTATTGTGTTGTATGGAAAAGTAACACAATTGCAGCGCAAATTCTCACCCATGCCTAACACCTTGGTTAGTGTGAGCGAGAGCATCCTGTTGCTTATTAACACCAAAATCACCAAAGTTGTGTTGTGAAGAACAATGTGTGTCTGCATGTGTGACACTGGTTGCGAGATCTTACCCTATAGGCCGCGAGACCACCAGCTCCACCTGCGGCTCCGGCTTGGATTCTAGTATGATATTGTAAACTTCTTTAAATGTGGCTCCTTGTAAAAGCTTCCCGTTCCACTCCAGCACCTGATCTCCTGCAAAAACACCAGAGATGCTCAGCATCACGTGGAAGATCTTAATCCTTTCTGCTCACACTGTCGTCACAGCTGAATTTTGCCAGTTTAATTTCTTCATAAATGTGTGCATGTGTTTTTCAATACCTGGTCTGAGGTGTCCAACAGTGTCTGCTAGACTTCCTTTCCTCACTTTAGTGATGAAAGCACAAAGTCTACCAGATTCTGTCATCTTGCCTCCCACCACCTGTAGAAACAGAGAGGTGACTGCGCTGGTACTAAAATGCATTTGTGAAACAAAAGTCGAGCTATGTCATAATAACTGTAGATTTAATGCAGCGCATTAGCATGCAAGCCCTGCAGCTCATAGAAAAACATGGACTTATTTTCTCAAAGCATTCTGTTGATGTTATGGCTTCAGTTTTTGCCTGTGAGGTTTGAAACCACAAGAAATACACTGGAAGGGAGAAGGTCAGTGTTAAAAGTCTAAATCTTTTCAGAAACTGTCCAGGACTGTGCTTTGTTCCCCGTGGAAAAACTCCGGTGCTGTACCGTGGTTCTGTAACAGTGCAAGGCCGTGGGCTAGAGCTGTACTGTACAGTCCTGAGCTGCTGTACTCCACTCTCCTCGGCTTACACTGGCATCATACAAATAAAAATCCCCTCTTAATGGCAGCTGAATGCCAACATACAAAGGAGCTTAGGGAAGTCTGCTAAATGAAATGGCTTTATGTAACAGGCAGGAGATAGAGAGAGGGAGGCTTGCAGATGAAGAGAGCATAAGAGAGAGAAAGAGATGGGCAGTGAGGGCGAGGCTGGCAACCTGACTGATGGACTGACTGGCTGGATTGTGGAGCTGGGTGGCTGCTGCTGAGCGGACAGAAATGCACAGAAGCACTGAGCAGACACAAACATGCCATTTCAGGAGGCTCATTTAATCAGTAATGATTTTTTTCCCCATCTTGCCGCTCTCGCTTCTTTCTCCAGCGGCTGCTGCCATGCTCCTGTGGACATTCGGCCGCTCTCTTATTTTTTTAAGGGTACGCACCACCGACAGAATTACACAACAGTGAAGGATAAAACAAAACTACTATCTATATAAAAATAAGTATATGCTTTTTGAATAGATGGAGACACTGAAAGGGAAACTGACTTAGCAATCAATAAAGAATTTGATCAATAAGAAGCAGGCAGCACTAAAACTATGAGAAAAAGACACACAGAGAGCAAAGAATGTAAATTTACATTAGAACGTGATGGTACTGTATAATGCACAAACAGGGAATAACTGCAGGGACAATACTGGGAGGTTCTGCTCCGACTTGTTTCCTCCGAGCAGCTGAATTCTGTTCACTGAAGTAGCTCAGTATGAATGAGTTCAGAAGATTAGAGAGCCCAGTATCAAACAACACTTATTAATATTCATCAGGAATATAATGGCTATTAATAGTGACTCGTACTACTGTATGATGTAACAACAGAAAGCTGTGAAGAAACCTAAAAAAAAAGGCACAAAATTTTTAACCTTCCACCTAAATGCCACATCTAACACTGATCCTTTTGACTGAACCCTACTGGGTAAAATGTTAAAGTCACTGTGCTAAATATGCATATTTTAACAGGATATTCTAATGGCAGTTCAACATGAGTGTGTGCAGTGCAAATGACGCCCACACAGGCTGCAAGCTCACCTTCAGACCGAGCAGAGCACCTGAGTCTCGAGGCACACTTCCATCTTTCATGCGCTTGTTGAGCAAAATGCGCCCTATTAGGCGATCCCCATCTTTGGACGGCTGCCACGTCACTGGGTGCTACAAGGTCAGAGCAACAACACACCTTTTGTTTAACAAGTCATCCATTTTAGTTCGATCACTTCAGACCAAAGCAGACAACAAAACAGTGAAAGGAGGGCGTGAAGGGAGCACTTTATTTGTTCACTTGGGGGAAGAATGTTCACACAAACTTGGATAGCTCAGTAATTTAAACTCCAGGTGATGCAGTTTTATCTGTTAGGCCAAAAGCGTTCAAAGGAAAATCTGAAATTTCTCCAAGTAACACACAGCTCATTTACTGTCTCACAGAGTTTGTGTGAACCTGCTGGTGTGAGGGTGGAGTTAAGCTTCATGCAGCGCCCCATGCAGAGTAAAGCAAGCAGCCTCAACACTCCTCCTAAAACCAGCTCTTCAAACGGGAGCAGGAAGACCAGAGTGTGACTCTGGTGCTTTGCTACACACAAACACACGGCCACCATCAAGTGGAGTAGTGAGGGGAAAAGCGGATAGTGAAAAAAAAAAGAGGGAGGGGGGTAGACGTGATACAGATGAAGTAGATCCTAGGGTGCCACATTAGAGATCAAAAAGGATGAAAAACAGACAGCACAGAATAAAGCTATGAGACACAGGGTGATATCACAGATGCAGCAGTGGAAGGGAAAAAAGAAAAACAAATGTTTTTTTGGTGCAAAACTAATCCAATCTTCCCTGTTTGTGTGTGTGTTTGTGTCTTTTTTTTCTATAGAAGTGAGTGGAAAATTGGGCAGAGGGGACAGGATCTGTCTGGACTGGGTGCTGTGGGGTAGGGCAGCAGAGTGAGAGGGGACGGGCCCGAGTAAGGGTGTTCCTACTACACTAAACAGGACCGCTGCAGAGCAAGAACACAACATACGGAGGAAAAAAAACGAGCATGCAACTAGGAGAGACCCACATTCCTGAGTGCCATGACAAACAGAGAGGTTGTGTGTCAATGCCCAAGTCTTTTACAGCTACTGTAAAGAGGTGTAGTTTCTATTTGGGGAGCAATACAGCAAGTACAAGTAGCAAGCAAAGAGGGTGTCCCCAAATGACTTTTATTTTTAAGGCAACACCGAGGTGGAGCCAAAAGTAACCGAACCAAAAACAATAAATCAATTTTTTTAAAAATCGCAAGAGAAATCAATTTATACAACGTTAAATAAAATCCATAAAACAGACATCTCACCTATTTACACTTGGTGACAGAGAGCAAACAAAGACTGGATGGGTAAGGTCATAAATAATAATCATAACAAAAAAAAAAGAAAAAAAAAGCAGGCTAGATTGTCTCAGTACCTTCTCACTATGGCTATGCTCCTCGTTTAGCGTAGTGCTACTGCACGTATCAACTCCCGAGTCTTTAACCTGCGGTTCACACCATGCCAAGTCCTCTTCAAATGAGTGTCCCCCAAAGCGCACCATTTTCTTTTGCCTCTCAGATAAGGTGTGTGTCGCCTCGGACATAAATGCCTGCTCAATAGTTTTTCTTTTTCCCCTTTGACTGTCCCCTACAGGTGTGGGATAAAAAACAGAAAGAAAAAACAGAAAAAACAACATGCAAAGGTGTAAATAAAACAAAGGAAACATGAAATGACAAAAAGACTCCGGGAGGACAGGGGACGGGGGAGAGAAGAGAGAGAGACAGAAAGAGAGGGAAGGAGAGAGAGAGTGAGAGAGAGAGGTGGGCTTAAGGGGGCGGGTGGTAGGGAGGGAGGGTCAACGCAGGGCTCCACATGTCTCACCAAAGACAGTGGGGAAGCCTCACTGCTATGCCATGACGCATGGTCCCACCAATGGCCATCCAAATCTCCTGTAAGGTGGGAGGGAGGGCATATACACACGAGAGAGGACATCGAGAGGGACAAGTGAGGACGCCACAAAGTACAGACATTAACGCGCGCACACACCCACACAGAGAACTCGAAATAAGACATCCAGTCATTCACATTCCAACACACACACACACACACACACGCAAACACACGAGTGCTCACATGCTCCCATAATTCAGCAAGAGAGATAACCGCTCCTAAAATCCCTGCAGAGAAGGAAAAGACGCAGATGGATTGAGTTTAGCACTGCACAGTTAAGAAAACTAAACAAGACGCAAGCCATGGCTGAAGTCAAAAGCACAATCTGAAGCTTCAAATCCTTTAAAGGTATTACATGTGTTCCAACAGCACATTAGGAACCTCTGATAAACAGACAAATAGACCAGGTGTGGGCGGGGCAAGGATAAACGGCCCATTTGAAATAAATAAATATGTTTAGTATGATTATAAAGAGAAAAGAGCCTCATTAAGATAACATATAGGCCACAGAGCGAAGTTTTGTTTTCTTTACAATACTTTGGCTAATAGGTAGTTCTGCATGATTCACAGTTCAAAATAATCCGGCTTTGTCCCCTCAGTTCATGAAACATATCACACAAGAATTTTTAGTTCCCATCCTCCTCCCTTTTAGTCAGCCTTCCTCAGATTAGCTGCCCCTCCTGAGCAGGTGAAGAAATAGACCTTTCTTCATTTCTTCAGATATAGTTAAGGCAAACTTTGCTTTCAATCAAAACACGTTCCACGTTACATTCCTCTGATTTTTTTCAGACCGCAATCTTCAGAAACATTCGGGCCAGATTCTGTTTTGTTGAAACAAAGTCAGCACACTGCTATCTTATTCTAAAGAAGCTGCATCTATAGTAGGGAGCAGGGCAGACCTCTAATGTGTTTAACTGGGGATTCAGATTGCAATGCCACACAACCTTAACTGACCTCGATCTAAAGTGCACCGGGGAGAGCTTTTAAAGATGAGGCTCTGATTACAACTTCTGCTGTAGCATCGACGGATACATGGCCTTGAGAAAGCCAGGCAAGTGGCTACGATCGCAGGATGAAGGATTCTGGGGCATTTCTCTACTCTTGTCGTGCCTTCAGGACAATAATCAGTTATAAAGGGAAGACTTCTAATAAGACAAATGTGAACCGATCAAAACTATCCATCTATCTCCAGAAGCAACTTTGTGATTCTGCAGGGTTTGTCCTGTTCTCCAGTGTGGATGTACAGAGCAGTGAGATGAGCACTTTCAATTTGATTAAGAAGCTTAACATTTAAAGCTAATTAAAAAGAGCAAAAAATATTGAATCCAAAGGTAGTGCTGAGATTCTCAGGGGAGAGCAGTGTGGAGGTGAAGACAGGCACAAGTTAAGAGTCAAATCCTGCTCTTCTCTGTCCAGGACTTCAGTCAGTAAGATCATTTTAGCATCCCATTACAATGCATAATTCATTTAAATGATATTCAGCTATGATGCCAATTCATTTTACAAAGGGGAAATAAAGTTGCTCTTATTAAAACATTTACCGAAGAATGGGCCATTTAAATAATACAGACACACAACGTGTTCTTGGCAGCAAACATGCTGTTGTAGACTTGTGTGTTTGCACAGATGTACAAAGTCAATAGCGGACCTCAGGGCTGCAGTCACAAGTGAGGTCATCTGAAAACACTCGACTTGTTTAACCCATGGGCCACATACATCACATTCGCCACACTTCACTTCCCCTGCACAGAGCTGTAGAACCTAATGGATCTATAGAGGACAGGCTTCCTTCAAGTATTATCTGGCTCAGGATTCAATCTCAGGGAAATCAGGGAATGCTGATGGAAAGGCATAAAAATAGACTGCATATGCTGCTAGATGTGGAGGCTGAGGAGGTGGTGGGAGGCTGGACTGGACAGGGGTAAAGAGAAAGAATTTTCAGCACAGGACAAAAAAGAACCTGCATGGAAGACGTTGTTTGCAGGGTCACTGTGAATACACATAGCCAGAAATGTCTTAAATAATCCCTCATTGCACTGGGGTAATATGGGGTTCAGTACTTTCTTAACAGATATGTACAGAATTATTTGGAGATTTTGAAATTTAATATTCCGATGGATCGGAAATAAAAAAGGTTTTCCCATTAAGACACACAAAGGATAAACAGCCTTCCATAACATTTGCTATCTCCAGTTGTTTATGCACTCATACAGGCTCTGCCTGACTCTGCTCAGATCAGCTGGCTGTTGTGTTTCCAAACATAGGTGGCCAACTGGAAAGTTGCAGAGTGCGCTCTGGTACTTATAACATCACTGAAGGTGTTTCTCCCTTTTTTTTTTACTTTTTAAATTTTCATTTATTGGCATAAACGCCAATGCCACTTAGCAAATAACTACTATCGGCCGATAATACTGGCTCACTGATAAATCTCTCAGGCTCTAACCTTTAAAAGAAAATCTGCTTCTCGTAAAGAGACATGCCTGCAGAACTGTGGCTCTTAAACAGAAGGTCTGTTTCTGGCTTCAAATTAATTTTTAACTTCCTAGCTTTCTTTTTCAATATTTTTCAATATTAAAACACAATGTATCTTATGTCCTGTCTTATCCATATTTTATCTTGGTTGCAAATCAAGTTTCAAATAACAAAGTCAGTGTAGTGTCAGTATGTATAAGTAATCAATATTAGCCAAAATCTCAAGTGTCAAACTGCTGTAAACACTGATTTTTTTTTTTTTTTGTACTCTTGGTTCTATATGATATCAGTGGGAGAAGACTTTTTATTTATTATTCTTTTTGTGAATCAGAAGAAAATTCACTTAAAGGTGAAGGAACTTAAATGATTTGTTTCAGAAAGAGCACAATCTAGTCCAGTATATGACAAATAAGGATTAGTTTGGACTGTGAATCATACAAAGCTACACTGGAAGAGTCCAAGAAGAAATGATGAGAAGAAATAAGATCATAATATTCCCCCTTTAATATAGTAAAAAGAAAAAGATCTTCAATAACATTTTCCAACTTGCAATTTTGTTGTGACCAAGCTGCAAGGTCAGTTTAGGCCAAACAACACCCTTTGTATTACTATCCATCCATCATTCTAAAGAAGCACTGCAACTACTTAGTGTATGTAGTAATGTGCTGTGATAAACTATTATGGATGTCCCCAGATAGGCTTTGGCCTCCGTGGCCCTCTCGCCAACAGCTGACAATAGTAATTACCTCCTTTGCCTTTCAGCTGCTCTTCTGTCAGCAGCGTAACACCAGAGCACACTTTGCTCTCCAATGAGAGTGTAGTGTGTTTGATGTGGAGCTATAGACTGAATGAATATAGACACTATGTGGCTCATCTCAAGCTTCCATCATTTACAGTTCAACCTCCACCTATGTGTGTTCTTCTTCCTGTGGCACGCCTCCATCTTCAGGCCCCTCCCCAGCCCACTCTTAATGTTTTAGAAAAAGAATTTGAGTGAGCACCGAGACACACCCAGCCTTCTCTCCTTACTTTCCCTGAAGCTTTATTAACAGCGGCATGCCACAAATGGGCACCATTCCCCCTTTAAGGCACTGTCTGATTTTTCAGCAAGCAGGAAACTCATCACGGCCATAAATTGTGAGTATCAGCAGTCTGCGCCCGGCCCTGCCGTTTCGCTCCGACTCCGAGGCCCCGCAAAGTGCTGATTCAGGTCGAAGGCAGCGCGCAGGCAGTGGCGGAGTTCACCACCAGCAGGCTCTCCATCACTTTGACGGCTCAATAAAAACCAGTGTAAACTATTAATTGGATCATTAATTATTGATGCTGTTTTTACTACAATTCAAGAGGTGAGAGCAGAAAAGAGGCAGGTCGAAACAATGTCTATGTTTAAACATAGCCACCATGCTACAAAGGTGAAACAGTATCATGTTAAGCTACTGGTAAGCTCAAAATATTAATCAGTATCTATTCTAATAAACTAACCCTAAACTAACCCTCTTTAATATGCCCAAAAACAATGCCTTTCAGGTAGAGAAAGGATGGATTAATAAGACAATCTTTCTCAGATCTAGCATGAGGCCAAACACTACAAACCCAGTAGGGTTACCGAGCTGCAAAACCTGATCCCAAAAGCCATTAATGAGGATGTAACTTAGGTTGTCACTACACAATGTCCACCTGTCTGCTGCAGTTAGCCAGCCATCCTCTCCTTTTCTGTGTGCTGGGCACTATTATGAGACTGCATGTCAGGGGAATCAATAAAGAGGAAAACACAGGGAGAGGACCATCGCAATAAATCAGTCTCCTACGTTCACAGACACAAGCCAGGCCCATTACAGCTGGCACACCCTTTCTCTTCCAGTCTAACTCGTCCCCTTCAACCCCCAGCCCCCCTCATCCTCCTTCTTTACAGATTCCTCCTCTCCCCCTTCTAGGTACCAGAAACTGGAGAGTGTGGGATGCTCGCTACTTAGCCTGCTGTTACACACCCATCTCGTTGTCCAGTCAAGCTGAATGCACAAACCCCCAAGATGCTGACGGGAACATATGGCAAAAAAAGTTGCTTTCCGCCCTCGTTTGTCTCACGTGCAATCGAAACCACTGCTCTTCGTATTGTTGGCAGATTTCTGATGCTATTTTTTTTTTCACTTTTCACTTTTTTCACTGTGGTAAATAATCAAAGTCCTTCTTTATGCTTTTTTTTTTTTTTTTAAACAAAGCAAGAAGGATTATTTCTTCTCTCGCTCCTTTTTTAGGAGCATTAAAAACACCTGCTTGATCTGACCCAGCTGAAAAATATTTGAGGGTCACATGTGCACATCGGGGGTGGCGTTAGCTTTGAATGCACTTTCTAATTATTGCATAATTAAACTTACTACGCAAACACGTACACACTGTTTTAAAATAAATGGTTCAGTACAATTTGCTGACCCATTTATCAGACTCCCTGCATGCACCGAATCACGGCAGCCTTAGTTATGTCATAGATGAAAATAATTAATGAAACTGCCAATTAAAACTAAATAAAGCTCCACATAATCAGCTGTCTGAGTATGTTCTGTACCTAGCATAGGAAGCTATACTTATCCAGGTCAACAGTTCAACTCTTCCCTATGTTTTTTTCTCCTACACAGCGTGACCCGCGGAGGAGGCAGGCAGACAGACGCACACAGAAACAACAGAAACTCTGACCCTCTAAACAACCTGCCTTCTCCCTATTTTTGCTCCACGGCTACCTGTAAATCTGGAAACTCCCACATCAATAATGTAGCGCCGGGTGCTCAGCTGCTCGCCTTAGAGTGGAGAACAGTTACATAACAGAGCAGGCCAACCAAATTCCACTGCTCTCCTCTGCATTAAACATTTCATCTACCATTCAGCGACAAAGGCGAGCTGTGCCACTGTACTTTTGTCCTTTCTATAGTCTAACCCCTAACACTCCTCCTCCTCCCTCTTTCCTGGTTTTACATCCCAGGAAAAGTTAAAGAAAAAAGAAAAAAGATAAAAATCAATTCGCAATTACAACAACTGTCAACCAGGAGGAGCAGGGAGAAGCTGACGACTGCCTCTGATGTTGATTCTATGCAAAGTGGCATTTCTCTCAGTCAGTGTGTGCTTGCTTGGTGGGATGTTGTTTTTTTAATATATATATATACTTGAAGAAATGTGAGATGCAAACATATCAGTCACAACAGACGGTAAGAAAACCACTTCAGTAAGGGATCCACATTATTATTTTAAAGTTTAAGCAGTCCTTGATTTAAGAAATAAGTAAATAAATAAAAACCAGCAGAGCTATTTTTCTTTTCTTTTTTTGCTAAACTGAACTCCTTCGCAATACCAGCAAGGTATTGTCAATGCTAACAGCGCAGATACAATTTGCTGCAGGAACACCTTTCTATATTCTAAAGTCAGCTCCCTTTGTTTCGGTTTACAGCCACAACTCCCAAAACATCTCGCTTTCTCCTCCTGCCTGTCCATTATGTAACACTGTCCATTAAAGAACACTGTCAAACAGCTGTGGCAGGACCTGGCAAATAGTGCCGTAACAGCAGCGAAAGCAGAGAGCCTTAAGATCAGCGGTGCTACGTCAGTTTCCAACTCACAGCCGCACGCACACATAAACCACCCATCCACACTGAAGCATGTCTGGCTGGCCTGTGAGCCCACAGGCCTCCTCCTCGAAGGCACCAAGAGCTGTTAGAGGAGATTCATTAACGACAAACAGAAAACACCGCAGTTCTCCGCACAGAAATAGGGCTCATCATTTTCAGTTTTTATAGGCTTTTATTGCACGTGTGCAATGGCTGGGTTGTTTTCTTGTTTGAAGATGAATGAAATGGCAGTAAAGACAGCCACTTTTAAGATGTTCAACCCCCCCCCCCAAAAAAAAATAATACAAAACCTAAGAGCACTTATTTCTGGTTATGGAGCATTTTAAGAAGAAATTTTCTGCATTTAGATTGTTTAATGTTTTATGAGAATGTTATCTTTATTGAAAAATCTGTATAAACAGAAACATCTTTAAAGATTTTTCAGAGTGAAAATGATGAGCCTTAAAGATAAAAAATACATTTATAAACAGACACACACACACAGAGCACATGTACACACTGCAGACTGGGGAATCTGAAAGTTATACAATATATACATCTGCATAATCAACATCACTTGAAGACAGCAGCAATGATTGAATTACAGTTCAGTGACTGCTCAATAACAGTAAAGCAGAACGGCTTTAAGACTTCACAATAACAGCACTAATATGTGTGTATTTGTATGCTGTAAAAACCTTTTGATACAGAGAACAAGAAACAGAGAGAGAGCAGACAGTGAGGCTCGTGGTGTGCTGGCTCCTACCTTTTTCACTAACTGACTCACTCTCTATCTCCACATCCTCACAGCTGGTGTACTCCGGCGTGGTGGCCAGCTCCTCCTCCGAGCTGCTCAGTGACACCTGCCTCATCTTCCCTCCCTTTTTGGTTTTGTGGGGTTTGGGGGGTGGTGGGCGCACCGACTCCGACTGGTCTGAGCTAAGAGAGTCGTTCCTCAACATGCTCTCCATTTTCTCCCTCTTGGTCTTGCGGACAGCTGAACTGGGGTCCAAGTGGTGCTGCGGCCTCCTCATCATATCCCCACCTACCCCCAGGTCTCCTCTTCGCAGGTCCCCCGACCGGTCACCCAGAACGGGACTACGGTGTGGCGTTGGGGGGCTGTGGTTTCCTCTGTGGCCTCCGAGGCCAGGACCCATTGGCCCTGGTGAGGACCGGTCAACGGAGTAGGAGCGCTGTCCCACCATAGGCGGCCGGCGCTCAGTGAGAAGCTGACGCGACAGCCGGATGGGGCTGGGCTCATCTTGCTCCGTGTAGGCCAGGGAGACGTCGCTGTGGCGACGTTCGTGCCTTAGCCGGCCCACTTCAGCGTGCATCCTCATCTGCTCCTCGTAGGGCTGCGGCTTAACAGGGTAGCGTGCCAGGTTGGGATCGCTGCGATAGCGTGCCTGGAACTCTTCCTGGCGCTGCCGCTGGAGGTCATACTCACTGGGCGGTCCATCTAGCTCCTGGTCGAGTGGGTATTCCTGTGAGTGCCAGCGACCGGGACCTCGACGGTCCCGATAGCCCATTCGCGCTGCATCCATATCTGAGTACATGTGTGGGCCCCGCGGAGCCCGCCGAGGGTCCCCCTCCCCATAGTCAGACGGTGATCTAGGCATGCCGCCGTCCGTCGGGGCATACTGTGAGTGGTCGCCCCCCTCCCTTTGGTCGTATTTTTGGTTTGGATCCCTGGATGCAGACGGGCTTCGTTTCCTGCAGATCAGAAGGAGAGGAACAAAAGAAATTATTAGCCGGTCAACTGTAGACAAGATTTTCTCTCGTTCTAATTATATGATGTCTTTTTGGGCTGAAAGGTGTTTGCATCCTGTAGCTTCACTTTACTTTGGTCTGCACTGCACAGGTCCCAGTCCTTGTGAAAAGGTAATGATAGCCTGCACTGTTTCTGTCACACACACACACACACACGCACACACACACACACGCACTTACACACACGCACACACGCACACACACGCACGCACACACACACACACACACGCACGCACACGCACGCACACGCACACACACACACACACACACACACAGAAGACTAAACTAAACAGCAGGATGTAGCACCAGTTCTTCCTCTCAGTCCAAGAAGCAAGAGGACACAAAATATACAATTCAAGTCATTTTACAATATGTGTTCTCAACACATGTGCTAAATGTGTGCTGAGAGTAGTGCACTGGTAAATGATTCAGTGATCCACCGGCTGTGTTTTTGTGCACATTACAATGCACATGAAGGGGTTGTAGGCAGACAATAAAAATATCTCTGTGTTCTGGTATTGATAAAAAAAGAACACAATTAAAAGCTGGAAATGTTGAAATGTTAGAAAGTACGCCCTGATTACGATCAGCAGCTTCATATTTCTAAAAATTAGGCGTCAATCGTTTTATTGTTGTCTGGTTGGAAGGAAACCATCCAGGAAGTGGATGAAAAGGATGGAGGGGGCTAACTGTGCATTAATGCATTTATTCTTTTGTTCAGAATCAATTATTCATAAGCCACTTTTCTCCTACATTTCTCCCACTTTTCCTCCAAAGTAATAATGACATTTTGGTGAGGAAAAAGCTCTGTGAAGCATCCCCTTAATTTTGTACGTGACAACTTTCCATAAATTTCAAAAGGACTCATAAATCACCGCTGCCAGCTTTGCTCACCAGCCAAGGTAAGGACTCCTCACATGTGATTGGCTGATTCACTGAAGGAAGGCTGGCCCTTCCCTATTGGATCACAGACTGTTCAGGTTAGTCAAAGCTAAAATGGATGTGCAGTACAAAAGATATAAGCATTGCGGTGAGGGACGTGTGGGCAAAGATGCTTTTTGTGGTCCCCGTGTTTGAATTTCTATGTTGTACACTGAATAATCTCACTAAAGTCAAGTGCTAGCTCTGGGGAGAGACAGCATGATGAACGAGCGTTGCGTACAGTTCATGAACTGCTGTACAGTTAAATATGGGCTCTTAGAGAGGGGCAGAAGCTGAGCAATAGTGCAGCACAAAATGTGCTTCCCAGCAACGCTGGCACATAAAAAGCAAATTTTACTTAATTGCAAAAGGGACAAAATAACAAGAACAGGTCAAAAAGAGCATTTTAACATATTTACATGCAGCATACAAACATGACTGCCCATGAATGCTAATGTTATGCCATTAATGATGCTTAGGCAACAGTTAGCTGTTCATAACGACATTATAAGGTGAGGATGTCAGTGTTGTTTTTGCAGCAAAAAGAATAAATACTCCATGCATCCATTTCAGGGTTGTGTGTGGGTGTGTGTACGTGGCAAGTTTGCAATCTGCCTGTGATTTTTGGTCTTTACACTAGACGTAAAGGAAGCATTATAGCTGGTGAAAGCTGCTGAGACTGAGATGTTCTCCGTTTCTGAGACACAAAAGATGTTAATGCCATCTTTAATAACTGTCTGCATTTTTAAAAAAATCACAAACACTTAAAAACTTAACAAACACAGACTTTTTTACTCTGAGAGCTGGTAGGTTGGTAAGAAAATGATCTGGAGCCACACTAAAACTTAATTGGTACTTCCTTTGCCTCTCCTCTCCACCGAGAATCTTGAAATAGCAGTGTTTGCATTATCTTGCTGACTAACAGCCAAACAGACAAGCATGTACGGTGGTCAGACACGTACATGTACAGAGGTCAAACACACTCAACTTGAGAAAAACAATAAAACACAACAGAAATTAGAAAAAAAAACCAAACCTCTCAGGGCCACTGTTGCAAAGCAGGCACTGATCACATACCTTCGCCAAATAAGAACGACCTAGAGGAAGAAAAACTGGCCGCTCGAGTCTCTGTGATGCTGCCAGCTCACAGGAGTGACTTCTTTCTGTTTCACATCAAAACAAATACCTTCTATCACCAGTATCATGATTCAAAGATGGAGGAAAAACACACGAGGGTTGGTACATTATTCATGAGCTGTTTTCTGGACACTAACCGAGCTGCACTTCATTCACAAATTCAAAGTGAAGCAGCAGCAGAAATTAGGGGGGAAAGGCGGCGTGACATGGAGCTGAGGAAGGCGGGGGAGTGTGTGTTTGTGAGAAATCTCTCTTTATAGCCACTCTGTAATCACTGAGGTGTGTGTTTGTGACCGCGTGTGTGTTTTTTGAGTCGACTGCTTAAGGAATGCTCTCAGGATCTCTTTGGGGCTTCAGGCCAATGTCCTCTCCGAGACTGTCTTAAAACGCTACACCCAGAAAACACACACACATACTCATAGCAGCTGCACACAGTTCACACAACATACATTAACAAACAGCTCTTTGACGAGGTCTAACACAACTTGACACAAGCATCACAATCCTCTGCTCCCGTTTAGCCTTGTATGTCCCTTCTTTCCAAACACAGAAATGTCTGTGCTCGCAAGCAAGCCAGTAAGCCCGTTGCACTCTATCAGCGTCCGCATCATGACTCTGCTGCTGCTGCTGTTTGTGCTTAAGCAACCTTCAATATATACACAACAGAGTGGTGACGCAGGGCTATGTTTTGCACTGTGCAATATTCTCTGCTGCTTCGACAGCCTCTCTCTGCATACACCTGAGTGCTGGCATGACACACTCTGCTGATCTTGGATTTGTATTCCATCCTCAGTGACTCAGACAGAGATGAAGAAAGGAGGGGCAAAATGGGAGAAGAGGTATCGACAAGGAATGTGGAATTAGGTGGAGCAAAAGTACGCAGATGCCAAATTACAGTAACCGTGTCCTGCAGTCGGACATTGCATCTGGTATGCGCGCCGCATTAAAGCATCATGTTTGTCAGGCTCGAGCATGAAGAGGCAGGATGTGACACCGTGGGATTATGATGCTTGCCAAGTTGCACAGAAGTCTGGCTGCGGCAATGATTGAGTCACGCACGGCAACGTAAAGGCCTCCTATCACGTCCCCTTATAGCGCAAGATTCATCCGCGTTTGCGTGATGCCAGAGGAGATTGATGAGCAGTGAATCGACCTAACGGGCCAACAACAGGGAGGCACGTGCACTTTGTGCGTGCTATGTTATGGGAATAGAGGCCAGGGCTTCTATACGCTCCTGCTGTGGGAATAACAGCAGCCTTTGTTACTGCTGTTGTCCTATGCTGAGCTAACTATAGAAATCCTCTGCTCTATCGTGGAGCTACAGACAAGGACGGAGATGGCAATAAGATTCGATTCATGCAAGGTGGTGCCGGAGCTTTTCAACTAAAATATAGAAGGTTTCTGACATCCCTTTGATGTCGCGTTATTACTGCTGCCAGGACAGCCTTGTACGCCTGCAGTGCTCTAGAGGTAATTCCAGTTAATCATCTTTTTCAAGTACACTGTCCTTATCAAAAGCAGCATAATGTATCAAATCCAGGGCTCAAAAAAAAATCCCCCCCCAAAAAATCATGGGATTACACTATGGCACCGAAAGATTAAAAAGTGCGACCCACAAAAAGATTAAAAGTGACCTGACATGCTCGTCATGATAAAAACCTTTATGTGATGTTATTTTCTACAAAGCAACACACAAAAAACAACTGGTGAAATTCCCTGATTCACTGCAGGGCGTAATGAGAGGACACTGCCCTATTCTCTCTCTGCAGATCCAGTCAAAAGCATCCACAGACAGAGCTCAGTTCCCAGGCTGTAAATGGACTAAATCGTCTAACTGTGTCACTCCCTGTGTGTGTGTGTGTGTGTAATTTTCCCTACACCCCTATACTCTGTATGATGGATATAAATCATAAACATTTGATGTGAATTTATGATAAATCTACAACATCATCATCACATTAAGAGGCTAAGCACACACACACACACACACACACACACACACACACACACACACAGCCAGTATGCTGTCCAAATTATACACTATTGTCGACTTAAATAATAAGAGATCATGTCCTCTCATAGCTACTTTAATAAGTGTTTTGTTGTTTTGTTTTTTATCAGCAAAGAAAATAAAAAAATTTATTATTGAGGTTATTTCCACAGTATTTCCACTGAGCAAGGATTTTCTTCCCTGGATATAATTGTGCTGAGAATTTACTTCCCTTTTAAAACCGAAGAAATGCCACTGGCACGAAAATCAATAACACAGAGTCAATAAGGAAGCTTTCAGTGAGTGATGAACCCTTCACAGATGTCGCAGGATTCAGCTGCATGCGTAGGCACCCAGACACATGTACGCACTGACACACAGGCACTAATGTGCAAAAGAAACTGCAATGATGGAGTTGCTACTATGACAAGTACCCTCACCCAAGAAAAAAGTCAGCCACAAGTCCACTGTTCTACTGTAAAAAAAAAAGAAAAAGAAAAAGAAAAGAAAAAGTAAAAGGACTGGATTACATCTGCTGTAATAACATAGGGGAAATTTAAATGTTCATACAGTTCCATGGAAAAATGCCTTCACTGCTAAATAACCTTTAAAGCTAAACCGTTTGAAAAAACAAAACAAAAAACATTTTCACACATGCTTTATCCAAACTGCTCATAACAGTCTAAATCCAGAGATATAGCCAGCCTTACTGAAAGTCACTGTTGAATCCTGGGATGTAGCTCAGTTCAAATCTCTGCCTGGCAGCTCCACGCAAACACATTCTGCACACAATCCCAGCGCGCACCCAGTCCGATCCACCCTACTACCGGAGCCTTGTTGTTTCCCAGATTCACTCTCCTCTAATACAAAAACTTGTGGTTTTCTATCTACCCAC